GCGTCCTGTTTTTTAGACAATGAGAAATAAGTCAATGAAGTCGCCCCGCTTCCTATATTTAGCATGTTGGCAGTGCCGTGTAATTGTATTCATGTTTACTTATTGAAATAAAACCGTTTAAAAACTTTTAAGTTAAACGGTTTTATTTTATATGCACTGAAAACTACAATATTGTATTGTCATCTAAATTAAATGTGTGTACCAAATTTCAGATCAATCTGACAACGGGAAGGTGCTTAAATTTCAATTTCTAATTTTGACCCAAATAAACAAACAAATTCCGTGCGGGTCGAGCTAAATAAAACCGTTTAATAAATGGCGGATTTTCTAAGTGAAAATAACTAGATTAATTTTTTTTTTCTCGAAAACTATAGGCTACCATGCCACGTTCTGCTTGTTGATTATATAAGCTCAATAACAGTGTGTCGGATTGTAAATAATTATCAAATAGTTTTACTTAAGCGTCAACGGTTATTTAATCATTTAAGTAATTATTAGAAAAGTAATATAAAGTAGCACTTATTGTGCGTACATATAAATTTAAGTTTTGAGGATCGCCAGCATTATCAGTACTTGTATCGAATATTTCACTTTTCTTAAAACAGAATCTTCTGAGAGATACACGCTTTGTGATATTAAGTTCATCGTCTTCTAATAAATTGTTATAAATAGCCATAAAGTAAGGTAATGCTACGGGTTTTCCAAAGAAGAACCAAATGCCTATGAACATGATGGTCATCAAGACTACTTGACAGAAAATGTAAAAGTAATAGGGAAACATAACAGGGTCTGGACTTCCAAACGCTGATATTTTGCATGTAATCCATTGAATTATTAACCAGCAAACAAGACATAAGTTGGTACTCGCACATATGGATATGCAACATTGCCATATTTTTCCACATAATATATACGGGTAACAAAGGACTTCCACCCAATTGAAACCGAATCCACTTTCTTCTTGTACAATCATTTGCGTTTCTCCTATTTTTGCGCAATCAAATTCCTGTGGCTTCTTTTTCTTTGGCTTCTTTTTTTGTTCACATTTCGGCTCCTTCATTCCCTTCGGTGATGTATTCGCTCTTATGTCTCGTGGCGGCATTTTAATATGTTTAATTTAGTTTACAACGGCAGGTGGAATCTATATGATAAGTACAACTTGGAAATATAATGGCATCACAAAAAAATTACGAGCATGACAAAAAGCGTAGTTAGTGGCATCTGTCAGAAATAGTATTTTTTTCGTATTTACTCAATTATAGTAAACGTTAACGAGTGAATATTTGAATTAAATTGATTATTTTTCTAGAAATTAATATTTTTTATGCTAATCATATTTATTCTGATTATTATAAAAATAAGCCGATGTCATCAGCGCTAACCATTAGCTTGGTTAGCAGAGTTATAGTATTGTACTCGTATTTACATCGTATATAAATATGAGTACTATACTATCCCGGGTAAAGGTGACAAACTCGGACAGTACTTTTCATACTAGACTTTTTTCAGGAGAATAATTCAATATGTTTTTAACAAAAAAACAAAACGACTTCAAATACTTCCCTCGCCACACATTTTCTATTTAATTTTGAATACGTCCCTGATGCCGGTGCCTAAGTTCAAATACCAATGAAGTATGAAACGACGCGGGAGCCCAATGTTAACATTTTTGTCGCTGTGGCTATCAGCCGTTTAGCTGGCTAGATCGTCAGGCCGCGAATGCCGAAGACGTGGGTTCGATTCCCACAGCGGCGACAATCTTTTCGTACTTTTTCCACATGTTTTAAATAAATAACTTATTTATTTATTTATTTAAAATTTGATGGGAAAGATTTATTTCCAATCAATGATGAATTCAATGAAGATAAATTATTGACACATAAAATAATAAAAATATATTAGATTAACACGAAATACATAATTATAGAAAGACAGTTTTTACAAAGACGTTTTTCTCTCGACTGCAATTGACACACACTGGAACAGTACAATTTTCAAATGTAACACCTGTTATCTGTAAGTGGCCAGTAATCCTTAGCGGAATGTTATGAAATCTCTAACACTACTCCGTAACATTGCGCTACTCATAAGGCCACTCAATCACTCATTCGATACACACTCAACACTTACAAAAACTCATACCCATGCCTCTCAAACATAACTCAAACTTTCCTCTTGGCAGGGCCTTTGTGAAAATGTCAGCTACCATCGACTCTGTCCCCAGATACTTCAGACTGATCACTTTGTTGCGAAGTGCCTCTCTGATAAAGTGAACTCTAACGTCAATGTGCTTTGACCTCTTATGGCAAGAGTCCTCACTGTTTGCCATAGCTATTGCAGACTGACTATCACTACTCAGCTTAATAGTCTTGTTAAGTCCAGTTATTTCTCCAAATAACCTCTTAAGGAAAACTGCTTCTCTTGCAGCATTTGACAAACTAATATATTCCGCTTCTGCACTTGATAAAGCAACTACTGTTTGTTTTCTGCTTTCCCAACTCACAGGTGCAGACCCAAATTTAAAAATATAACCTGAATAGGACTTGCGATCTGTTACATCACCCGCATGATCTGCATCAACAAACCCTTCTAAATCTCTTCCACTTTGTTTAAACACCAGCCCCAGGCTTTTGGTGCCTTTAAGATAGCGAAGAACTCTTTTTAGTGTCTGCCAATGTTGCTCTCCATAGCAACTATTAAACTGACTCAAGTAACTTATTGCAAAAGCTACATCTGGTCTTGTGCAGACTGCCAAATACATTATAGAACCTACTAATTCTTGATAAGGAATGTTATTAGGCGGCTCATAATTTGTTTCCACCGGTTTGGTCAACCTATAACCAGCAATGAGAGGTGTGGAAACAGGTTTGCAGTCCTGCATGTTAAACCTGGTTAATATTTTCTCTATATAGCCTTCCTGATCTAGTGTAATGTCATCTTCAGTTTGTTGTACACGCATTCCCAGAAACAAATCCGCTTTACCAAGATCACGCATCTCAAAGGTATCTCTTAACTCCTTCTTGACTTGCTGCATCTCTGCTTTATTGTTCCAACAAAATCAATAGATCATCAACGTACACCGCTAGGATTATTAGCCTGTGTTGACTTCTCCTTATATAAACACATGGTTCGTTGTCTAGCTGAGTGAACTTCAACTGTTTCAGTGCTGAGTCCAACCTTTGATTCCAAGCTCTTGGGGCCTGCTTCAAACCGTACAACGACCTTTTCAGTAAGCACACGTAATCCTCTTTTCTCTTCTCCTCAAAACCTTCAGGTTGCTTCATGTACACTGTCTCTTCAATGTACCCATTAAGAAAAGCGGTCTTCACATCCATTTGATCAATTTTTAATTTATTCTCGGCAGCCATTGCCAACAGAAGACGCAATGAACTATGCCTGATCACAGGTGAATATGTCTCAAAGTAATCAACACCTCCGCGTTGTTTGAAGCCCCTCGCTACAAGCCTTGCCTTATATCGTTGCTTATTTCCAGCTTCAGTCTTAACTTTAAGAACCCACTTGCTATCGATCACGTTTTGTTTGGCTCTCTCTTTACTAGCTGCCAAGTTCGATTCTTGTGAAGAGCATCCAATTCTTCCTTAATAGCCTGACGCCAAAGTAAGCTGTCTGTCCCTGCGAGTGCTTCTCTGACATTTATAGGTTCCTCCAAACCAAAACCACTCTCTCCGGGTAGAACTGCTTGATATAGAACGTGATCAGGGAATTGTCGTGGCTTTCTGTTTCTCATAGGGTATCTCCGTGCATTCCCAATCAATGATGAATTCAATGAAGATAAATTATTGACACATAGAATAATAAAAATATATTAGATTAACACGAAATACATAATTATAGAAAGACAGTTTTTACAAAGACGTTTTTCTCTCGACTGCAATTGACACACACTGGAACAGTACAATTTTCAAATGTAACACCTGTTATCTGTAAGTGGCCAGTAATCCTTAGCGGAAAGTTATGAAATCTCTAACAAAATTTATTGTTTACACTTCAACTTAGGGCTAAACAAAAGGCAAACTTAATGCTAATAAAATTTAATAAATTTCAATGCATAAGCATTATATATAATAAGTATATATAGGTATTATATATATATATATATCACAGACTTATAAAGAGAAGTCTGTGATATATATTTATATATATGTAATACAAGTATATATATATATATATATATATATATATATATATATATATATATATAGAGAGAGACTTACATAAAATAGTGAAAGGATATAAAAGGATAAAGTTGGTGACTCTAACAATCGGCAATATTGGCATAGTGACATCGCAGCATTTTCTTAAATGATACCTTGCTAGGTGCGTTTCTGAGGCAAAGAGTTCCAGAGAAGTATAGCCTGAACAGTAAAATATTTATGGAAAAAGCCGGAATGATGCGTCGGAGTGCAAAGTATTCTACTAGCTGAGGAACGAAGTGTTTTATCGTGAATTAATGAGAGATATTGGAATTTTTCCTTTAAGTACTTCTTATAATATATTAATTTTCGTAAATCAATTGTTGTCTGGCCATTGTGCAAGCTTTGTTATTCTCATGATTCCGCGGGTCATCTACCTTGGAAACCCTTCCGGCAACAGCAAATTATACAGGAAAAAATATAATACAATACAAAACAATATATACAATACAAAATGTATGTTAATTCATTTCTTAAGCTTTAAAAGAGTACATAAAAGTATACTTATGTGATATGATATGAAATGAAGTATCAAGTAAAGTAAAGTAACTACTCTATGGTCAGTACCAAAGAGTGCTTTTTTATATAAGTCACTTGTCACCTGTCATTGTCCATTTCAGTGTATATGTCTTATCTATGTCATTGTCAGTACTCCTTTCAGTGATGGTGGGGTAGGTTACGCAGCTCTAAATTTCAAAATATTACGTATTTTTCAACAAAAATACTATGTAAGAAACCTACAGTTTAAACACAAGCTGCAAGATTTGCATTTAATATTGAAAACCAATGAATAATTGCAGGTAAAACTTAAATACTTCGATGAAACATAGTGAAAGTATTTATTTGGTATGCAAGAGTTCATGTTCTTTCTCCAATTAATCATAAACCTCTCCAAGAAGTAGTTGATGTAGTTAGGGATTGATTCTTTTTTTTTTATAATATGCTACTGTTCATATTTTATTTAACTGGATTTTGTCGATAAGACGGGTTTTCTGACCTTGTACTTACTAGCTTTCATGTTGACAACACTTCCTTTTTTTACTAGTTTTACCTTTAGTCATAATAAAGAAATGTATTTTTCATATAAATATAATGTGAATTTCCGGGCAGTAATAAATTTTTTTATTAAAATATCTATGAATATTTATAATTTATTTAGTATTAATTTGAAATAACTCAAAAACATTATAAGCTAATAATAATATACTTACAAGTTCCTATTCTAGTTATGAAAATATCTAAAATATTCTCATATAAATATTCCAAAGTTGGAGTTAATAATAATTATATTAATTGCAACAAATAACTAACAAACATGATCTTTGGTGTTTATTTTTAATAGTAATAATATAATTATATTTATTTTATATTTGCAATATATATTTATATGCTTATTTTTTATCTATAAACCCAACCGGACAAGAAAACAAAGAAATAACCCCAAATAATAATTATATTAATTGCAACAAATAACTAACAAACATGATCTTTGGTGTTTATTCTTATCATCATTCAACTGTTTCAGATCACTTGCCCACCACAAAAATGGTCTACCAAAAGATATGCCTTGTTCTAGTGGGACTGTTTAGCTTAACAAATTCGGAGTATATCCCACCAGGGCCTGCATATCCATGTCCAAAAGATTCAAAGAGCCAACTGTTGTACCCATGTGTATGTGAGAAGGGTACGGATACTGGATTACATATCCGATGTGAAAATGTTGGTCTAGCTGTATTGAGTGTGGGGCTTGGCAACATTGCAGGATTGGGTTTTCCAATTGAAAGACTGGAGTTGAATGAATGCAAAATCAGTTAGTATTCCATTATAACTATAATATATCCATTATAAATATTATCAAGCACAAGTATAATAAATGTGTAAAATGTATATTAATTGATTTGCACAAGTGCATGGTGGTTTCAAACGGCATTATTTGATGCCATAATCACTTTAAACTGTCTACAGATTGTATTTTAAATGCTTATAGATAGGGTGGTAACAAAGAATTTATATGCTTTTAGCAAACCTTTTTGGATCCTTGCTCCACCGGTCAACAGTTCGGGTCTTGCACATCATTGACACACCAATCAGAACAATAGATGAGTATACCTTTGCAGGTGTGAATAGGACGTTGCAAGAACTTTATATGGTTAATACAGATATAACAGATTTTCCAAAGGATGCTTTTAAGGTATAATTTTTTCTATTCATCATCCTCCTGCCCTTATCCCGCCGTGGTGGGGTCAACACAACATGTGAATCATGTTGTAAGCAGTTTTCACTGAATTTTTTAAGACCAGTCGCCTGCCTGAAGTCAACCCTGCTTGGGAAAATAATTTTTTTCAAATATTTTTTTCTATTATCATATACATTTTGAAAATGTCTCTTATTTGTACACACAAGAAATGAAATTATCGTCTTTTAATGCCTCAGTCTTTGTTATAATTTACTGTTAATAATGAAAGAAAATGTTAAGAATACTTTAAACTGATTGACTGTTTGATTTTGCATTATGGCCTACGTGCGGTGTATAATTGGGGAAATACAAATAACACTCAACTTTATCATTCATTGATTATTTATTCCCAAACATGACAGCATCCAATATGTAGTCCTAACATTTCTAGACTAATTAGTTACTAGGGGAAATAAGATCTACCCTGGAATTAAGAAAGAATTATTAGTTCTTTTATTATTATATTCAGTTTAAAGAAATTTAATTTTTTATAAAAACTATAAAAGTTTGTTTAAGATAAAATTATTATATTAACAGATAGAAGTTATATTGTATTATCAAGTACTGTTTACACTTCTGGCACATGCATTTTTAAATAATATTAAAATTATTTTTAGGTTGTTTTAAAATTATAACATTATAATTTAAATTGTACATTATAAAAGCGTTGTTTTAAATCATTAATTGTAGCATGCTTACATGTTTTTTTAATTTACTTTTGAACTTTCTACTGATTTATTTCAAAGGATTCTTATTACTTTTAAAAGATATTTTAAAGGATCCTTTAAAGAAATTTCATTAAAGGTAAGTTGTTAAGCAATTGTGCTTTCTCAAATAAGATTGTTTTCTTTCCATAGTTTGTGTGCGGGCAAGATAATTCAAGTTTATTTTTATTTGTCAAGTTGTGAGTTGCTTTTTTTTCTGTAGTGTTATGTTTGTTTTGATCATGTTATCACTTATTTTTAACTGGAGTGCTAGTGTAGTATGTGTATAGTTGTGTGAGATTAAGTACTTATTCTTTTTTCATATATTAATTTTGTAGGTGTCAGGTAATAATAATGATGTAGTAATTTAATGATTTTATTTTAAGTTATTTGTAGTGGTAAGCAGCTCCCACAAACTTAATGTTGCTGATCCCCATATTTCAATCATATTTATATTTATAAGAAAATCTCACATAAATGTAATCCATTACTATAGCTCATTTTAACATGTGATGCTGCAATAATTGTTTTGTTTTCAGATCATGGGCAACCTTTCTATTTTGTCTATTAATGGGCATCAGATGAAATCACTGGACAAGGACATCTTTGCAGGCAGCGAAGCGGCTGGCAGCTTGCTCCGGCTGCATCTACCCAATGGTCTTTTGTCGGATATACCTGTTGAAGCATTTCAGGTTACCCTTTGAATATTTACTAAACATATAATTGAAATTACAAAAGCGGAAATTGGAAAAAGTAGATCATTCTAATGATGACTCCGTGGCGCAGTTGCCAAGGTATTGGCTTCGGCATCGGGGGTCGTGGGTTCGATTCCCACACGGGACAACTATTTGTGTCGCCCACAGATAGTTGTTTCGCATCTGGGTGTTTGTCCGCGTGAAATTTATGTTTGTAAAATGTCCTTACAACACAGGATAATGTTATCCTAAAGTAAGGTTAATGTTTTAAAAAAAAAATAATAAAATGATAATATCAAATATAAGAAAAATAATCAAATGATCGCTTTTTATATTTATGTATAAACCACACCTTACTATTACATATGTTTTAAAGTATTTGAAATATCTGGAATATTAGTTTAAATCAAGTATATGCTATTTAAACAGTCTATTTATTTACGTAATCAGCTAAGAAGACTTTTCTGCTGAAGATTTTTAAACAATTTTTTTTTAAATTTGTTTCCTTTACATTCGTAAATAGACGAACTTTCTAAAGATCATTTACTTTTCTGACGCACAGTTTCTGAAACACTGATCATGGGAGAAGTTAACTAATCAGCTGTCAAGGCGTGAGAATGTTTACCACATTCAGTACTTAAAATTCTGATAAACAATTACATTGGCGCAGCAATGGTAAACTCGGGTTGCTGGAATAAAGTAAAAGAACTAAGGCTATGATTTTTGTACCAAATTCTTGGTAAGGTGTAAAGTATTGATGAGCAATGGACTATAGTCATACCATTTCGTCTTTCAGAATCTTAAAAAATTAAAAACACTGGATCTGCATGGAAACAGGCTGGCAAATCTGAAGCGTAATCAGTTCAAAGGCATGCGTGACCTGGAGCTGTTGGATTTGAGGTTTGATCAAATAAAATTATTTATGCTTTTCCACACCATTTTATTTTTCATGCTGAAGGCTACATGTTAATAACCTGATTATATTTGCTATTTATTTCCTTCATATATTACTCCAATCAAGATAACATGCTCATATTTTTTTGGGCTGGCGGTTTACTTGATATTAGGTGATAACTATTGTGCATGGACATCCCCAACACCCGTAGTGTTGCAGATAAGTTGCCACCTTTTATTAAAGAAGATCCCTGTTACCTCACTTAACAGACAGGGAGGCTATATTATAGTCTGTCCTGTTTAAAAGTAGACTTATAACAGTTGATTTTTTATTACAGTTACAACAACATAACGAAACTGGACGGCAGCCATATTGGGGATCTCACAAAGCTGGGCTGGTGCAACGCCAGTCATAACTTAATAGCAGACATACCCAGGTTGGCTTTCTGAAGAGTAAAATTTTAGTATTATTATTTATTTTTATTAGCCATGAGTTTCCGGGAGCTCGCGTTTGATTAAATACCCTTGAGCAACCAGGTGCCAATGAAATTTTTTATTTTAAGTCAACACTTATCACTTGCTCAGCCGGTGAAGGAAACCTGTATTTTTTCAAATTAATATAGAAAAATATATTTCCGAAGATGTCTGCCAATCCAGAGTGGTGGACTATACTAGAGTGGTGACTTTTGTCAGTAATGAGACATGAATAGGCTTTAACTAGTAAATACCATCAAGGACCGCATAATTAAAACATGTTATGTGGTTGGTCATTTCTGTGTTTCTTTTTAAGGCTATATACAGAATGCACATAGACAGAATTATGTCTTTCACATAATATTAAATATATCTATTTATTAATGAGGAGATTAATAAGTACGATTGTAAGTTATGTTTCCAGTATATAAATTTCAGAATGCAGGTGGAAATTGGACTCAGGACGCATGGAATCTAAATTTATCTTGTATTGTATATAGGATATATGTTTACATAATATTATAACTCTGATTTTACCATTTTTATTCGAGTACACGATAGACATTTTTGTGAATTCTAAAGTTTTTTCTTTGTCGCCGGCAGGGGTATGTTCGCGAGGAACACCGTGATAAAGGTGGTCCATTTGGACAACAACCGGCTGCGGAAGCTGGACACGAACAGCTTCAAGGGCATGAGGTTCCTGCGGTGAGTGATGTGGGCGATTCAACAAAATGTATAATAATACAATCATTCATTGCTTACACCGATTGTCAAAGTATGAACGCATTTGTTTTCATCATCAGGATTAGCCGTCTTTTTAGGTTATGTTTTGATTGGACGATAGAATGAGCTTTTAATATCTCTTCTATGAACATTCCAACTTTACCGAACTATTGGAAGTTGTGTAATTATATTCCATTAGAAATATAAAGGGGACAGTTTCTGTCGTTGACAAGAGTTTCGAAGTATATATAACGGTGAAGGTGGCTAGAGTGGAGAGTGGAGAGTGGAGAGTGGAGTGGAGAGCGGAGAGCGGAGTGAGATAACGCGGTGGCGGGTGTCAGGCGGCTGTACTTGCAGGACAACGAGATCGCGGAGGTGGGGCGGGGCACGTTCGCGGCCGCCACGCGCATCGGCACCGTGCAGCTGGCCAGGAACCGCATCGCCAAGGTGGACTTCCAGATGTTCCAGCAGGTGAAGTACGCCGAGGTGAGGCCCAGCGGTTCACATTCGGCCGCCCTCGCGCCCGTTTAGTCCGGTCTCTGACGGAGCGTGCCCCCGCAGCTGATCGACCTGGCGGAGAACGCCATCGAGGTGATCGAGCGGCAGGCGTTCACGGACCTGTACCAGGCGGTGGTGAACGTGTCGCACAACCGGCTGGCGGCCATCGAGGCGGGCGCCTTCCAGAACTGCAACAACCTGACGGCGCTCGACCTCAGCCACAACCGGCTGGCCGAGGTGGCGCGCCACGCCTTCGACGCCACCTCCTACGCCTCGCTGCTCGACCTCTCGCACAACCTCTTCCGGGACTTCAGCCAGGTGACCTGTGGCACTGGAACACCATCTATTTCTAAATAAATGAACACACATATAGGGGATAACTTTTTAAAATTGCATTAAACATTTAAATTCTTTAAACATCAATATTTACAGAGTTATTAAATTTTCCAAAACAAACAATTTTAGAACACCCTTACCTATAAAACGTAACGTAAAGTTCATTTGTAAAGGTCACAAAGCATATGAATGGGTTGAATGAATTTAAAAGAGACAAAACATACTGTTAGAAGGAGAGGCTTGTAATGCGACGCTATGGCGCGAGTTGTATAGGGTGTTACAAATTTTGTTTCTTTTTTACTTAATTAGTTTTTAAATATTTTTTTTAAATTATGGATTTTGTTTAACGTTAATATTTTTTTATGATTATTGGCAAGTAGCGTTAGACATGTGTTCATTTATTGTCGCGATGGCAACGATACGCTGTATAACGTTTCTCCGGTTACGATAAAAAAAATCAAAAATTTCTTGCGCCTTTTTTAATGTTATAGGCATAGAATAACTTACGCTACATGTTATACGGGAAAAACTCCCTCTAACGCTAACCTCCCTCGACGGTTCAATGAGAACGTTTCGTGGGCGATGCTTGCAAGGGCTATCACTTTTATATCGCGTTGGTAATTCGCTGCGTTTACCACCAGATGATTGAAATGGTACTCTGTTCTTTCGGCAAACCTCTTGAACATGTTAGCGTAGCATCGGGTATTGTCAATCACAAATTGGGGTTTAATGTAAGCTGTTTATTTCTTTGCTAATGTTACGAAACGAGCGAATGATATAGCACTTTTGTGCTTCCCAGATCCCGATCCAGAACATGTCCGGCATCCGCGTGCTGAACGCGAGCTACAACCTGATCGAGGAGGTGCCGAAGCTGGCCTTTCCCAAGCTGTACGAGCTGCACACGGTGGACCTCTCGCACAACAACATCTCCGAGATCGGGAACGCGGTCTTCCAGAACCTCTTCTCCCTCAGGTGAGATGCCTCATGTCGTCGAAAACAAATTCCTTACTCCAATATCGTTTAATATAATATTTGACGAGACTCGGCTATGGCTGGCTATATTATTTTCAATTGTTTCTTAAAGGTATTTTGAAGAGGTGACATTGTTTGTTCTATTTATTATGTTATTTAAATCCATCGCAACATTTTAAACATGTTTTAAACACTTTCTATATTTATTATATTTACATCTCTCCTTTGATTGACGTTGAAGACATTTTGTGAATCGGCAAGCTATATCATATGTTAAATAAAGATATAGAAGTCAATAATCCTAATGATTCTTATAAATCAATGGTTGACTTTCTCATATCTTCTTATAATGATGTATTTAAATCGCGCACAATTGTTAAAAATTCAAAATTAAAATTTAGTGGCAACAGTGGGTATATATAAAAGTAGGGATTCACTGTATGAATTATATAATATGAGGCAGTGGAATCATGACCCCAACTTTCATAAAAGGGTACAAATGTTCTCAAAAATATTTAAAAAAGTCTGTATTCAGGCAAAATCTATTCATATAAGAAATAGAATAATAAATTCAAACAATAAAATTAAAGCCACATGGGACATCATTACCCGTATATCTGGAAGACCCAAGATATTCAGGGAACCTATAAAACTGGTTATAGGTAATTCTCCCATAACATCAGATAATGAAATTGCAAGTAGTTTTGAAAGCTATTTTTCAGAAATTGCAGTTAATGTCACATGTACATTAAAATCATCTCCCATAGACGCAATTAACGTTCTAAGAAATAATGTTACCTTTTGTCCCCACACATTTAAATTTAATCACGTAGATACTTATGATATTATAAAAGTTTTGAATTCTATTAATCTTAAGAATACAGGGGATTTATGGGGCATGTCCAAAATTTATGACCACAATAATGCCATATATTGCACCACATTTAGCTAATATTTTTAACAACTGCATAGAATCTGGAATATTTCCAGATCTTATGAAATTTAGTAAGATAATCCCCGTCTTCAAAAGTGGGGATAAAAATGATCCAGGAAACTACAGACCTATCTCCATATTGCCATCTCTGAGTAAAATTTTTGAAAAACTAATTTTAAATCAGCTCTTAGTACATTTTAATATGAACAAAATTTTTCACAATGAGCAATATGGATTCACTAAAGGCAGATCGACAACAGATGCGGGTATCGCACTTATCAAACATATTTATAACGCCTGGGAAGGGTCGCAAGATGCAATAGGTGTTTTTTTGCGACCTTTCAAAAGCTTTCGACTGCGTGGATCACAAAACCCTCCTTCTAAAGCTTGATTATTATGGCATTCGTGACATCGCCCTCAATCTCATTGCTTCTTACCTTAATAATAGAATTCAAAAAGTATCTATAAATGATGTAAATTCCGCAGGGTCCCCCATGAAAATGGGTGTCCCACAAGGATCGATCTTGGGCCCATTATTATTCTTAGTATATATAAATGATCTCCCCTTTTATGCCAGTGAGTTTGTGATGTTGTACTGTTTGCTGACGACATATCGCTTATTTTTAAGGTTGACCGAAATGTATCGAATTATGACGACGTGAATAGTGCACTTTCGCGTATCCTCCACTGGTTTACCATTAATAATATGGTGTTAAATGCTAAAAAAAAAAAACCAAATGCCTCTTTTTTTGCCCTTCCCAACATAAGAAGGCAAAGTTTTAGCTTAAAATTGAATAGCGTAACCCTTAATCCTGTTGAGTCCGCTGTATTCTTGGGAATCACAGTAGATTCCCCATCTATCATCTCTTGCGAATAGGTTAAGCTCCGCTGTTTTTGCAATTAGGAAGGTTAGGCAGCTATCAGACATCGACACTGCCAGACTTGTTTACTACAGTTATTTTCACAGCATCTTGTCGTACGGCATTTTGTTGTGGGGTAGTGCATCTGATATAAATTCAATATTTATTATTCAAAAAAAGAGCTGTCCGAGCAATTTATAACATCGGAGCCCGGAATACACTCAGAGATCTTTTTAAAGAGATTAATATACTCACTGTTACGTCTCAATATATTTATTGTAATATTTTGTATGATAAACATAATATTAATAATTATCAAAAGAATAGTGACAGACATAAACTAAATACTAGAAATAAGGACAAACTTACTACGCCATTATTTCGCCTACAAAAAGTAAACAGATCGTTCATGGGGCAAAGTGTGCGCATATATAATAAAATCCCACAGTCGATGTTAAGTCTGCCACTTGATGAATGAATTTAAACGAAAAATTAAAAGTACACTTATGGCTAAAGCCTATTATACTATTGCCGAATATCTTGACGACGCCAATGTGTGGAGTTAATACTGTTGATACTCACGTAGGCTAAAACAAGACTATTGTACCTGTACTATTATATTGTAAACTGATTTTTTAAAAAAGAGCAACTGTTGAGTTTCTTGCCGGTTTCTTCTCAACAGAAACTGCTTTCCGAACCGGTGGTAACTTACGAACGTGTGAATTTCTTGTAAAATTTTGACGTTTCATAAGAACGCGCAAGCGTCTATGTGAATAAAGATATTTTATTATTATTATTATTATATGAATCCAGAATGATAATCGCCTAAAATTAAATAAATCGAAAATCGTAGCTAATCGCGGAGTTTGTAACGGTAAAGTTCAAACGATTTTTTTTTTAAATACGTTCACCACCGTAGCATTACCCACCGGACGATAGCACATTACACAAGAATATACATTATACAACGTTTAGGTAGAATACAATAATACAGGCGATATTTTCAAGTCGTGTAACATTCGACACGCTCGGCGTTGCCGTTCCGCCGCTGACCGCCGTGTGCGCCGTTGCCGTTCAGAACCGGCGGTCTGTCGATGCGTTGTGCGTTTCCAGGCCGCCTTCGGAACGCCATCCGAACTAGAAGTAGTCACTCGTATTATCGGAACTGCGGCCGGGGCAGGTTCCTGAACCTGAGCGACAACTCGCTGGAGCGGCTGCGGCCGGGCGCCTTCGGGTCGGTGCCGACGCTGCTGCAGCTGCGGCTGGAGCGCAACCGGCTGCGCGACGTGGCCAGGCCGGCGCTGGCCAAGCTGGCCAGCTGCCGCGAGATCGACGTCTCGCACAACCGTCTCGACAGGATCTTCCAGATCCCCATCAGCCTCAGGTGGGCCGAGCACTTTTTTATGAATGACAGTGGAGATCGGATGTGGAGTATGTTGAGACGTTCTGTTTGGATGGGCGTGCAGCGAGCTGCGCATGGCGCACAACGAGGTGGCGGAGGTGGGCGGCGCCACGTGGCCCGGCATGAACGCGCTGCTGCGGCTGGACCTGGCCCACAACCGGCTGGGCGACTCGCTGCGCGGCGACGCCTTCTCCGCGCTGCTCACTCTGCAGCACCTGCGCCTGGACGCCAACGGGCTCACGGCGCCGCCCTGGGAGGCGCTCAACGCCCTCTCCAGCCTGCAGTACCTCTACCTGCAGGTGCCCCTCCTCCCGCTCTACGCCAGCGCGATATAATACGCTATGCGAACGCTCAACGCACAACAACCCTGTTGCAGCACAACAACATCACGTCGCTGTCGCGGTCGGCGTTCGGCAACCTGCCCACGACCTTCATGATCGACCTGTCGCACAACCAGCTGAGCAGCGTGGCCCCTCACAGCTTCCGCGGGCTGCAGCAGCTCCTGGACCTCTCGCTCAGCGCCAACCGCCTCGACCACATCCCCAACGAGGCCTTCAAGGGGCTGGTCGCGCTCAGGTGCGTTTCTCACAATCAATCAAATCGGACCGTACAGGATGAAAACATTTTCAACATTTACCATACATATTATATATACACTGATTACTCAAGACTTATATTAAAGTGGGTCTGAATCCTACTCTGTTAAACCTGAGACTGAGAAATCTTATCCTCCATTTACAATGTGACCAGTGTTGATGACACTTTAGTGGAATTTTTCGTTATTTTTGAAAACGACAAAAGTGTGAAGACTTAATGTACGGAAGGATTGGTGTTCATGGATCCTTCAAAGTGGAAATTCTCAATCCCTTCCTACCGCTGTTTTTTGTTTAATTTGTTGATTGTCGACCCTTATCTGATTCTATTTGGCCCATTGAAGGAAGCTGGACCTCTCACACAACAACCTGGAGAAGATCGACAACAAAACCCATGGCTTGCTGGATGATTGTCTGTCGCTGGAGATGGTGAGTTGCGCATTGTTTAATAATCTGTTTGTTACTGGAAGGTATTGCAACTCCATAATGTATAACTTCAGCATAAGTAGTCTTCATGATAGCATTCGTATGTATAAGAATAAAAGTTACTGTCTCGAACTGGCTCGGTGCACAGTGATAAATGAAATCTTACCGCATGGCCCTTAATTTTTTAATTGTAAATCGCGTCTTTTCTGGAAAGACGCATATGAGCCGTTACCGAAATGCACGATATTAATGTAGTTATATAATACTAGAAATGCTCTTCTCAACTAGGTGAATCTTAGCTACAACAAGTTCGGGTTCCTGAGCAAGAAGATGTTCCCCTCCAGCCCCTGGGTGCCGTACCGCCTGCGGACGGTGGACCTCAGCCACAACGGCATCCCGGTGGTCACCTTCGACATCACGCTCGGCACCAACACCGTCAGGGCGCTCAACTTGTCGCACAACATCATCAACGACATCAGGAACAGTCAGTGTTATAATTATTTTATCTTTGTAGCCAACTATTTAGTAGTCCAGTAGTACTGGCTTTAATCAAACACCTCAGCTTTATTATTAAAATTTTAGTTTGGGGGTAATATAGTGATAATACTAATAAACCAACAACTATACCGCACATAATGAGTAATTCTTTTATGTGACACTGTATTCTGGGATGTTGTTATATGTATTTTTAACAAAATAAAATATTATAAATACATATAAGAATATTTTTCAGTGATTAGGATGACACAGCAATCAAAACACAATTGAGTTTCTCTGTAATTAAAGATTTATTGTAAGATTTTGAAACTATTACATAAATAATAATTAAAATAACAAAAAAAAAGGTTTTACTATTATAACTTTACCTGTAATTAAAGAAACGACATTTAATGTTAATAATCACAATGTCGATTCTTAAATCACTATTTTACTTATTAAATATTTTTGTAATAAGATAATTTTCATGAATTGTTTCATATGACAGCTTAATTCTTTTTCTGTTATAATCCGGCGTCAAACATAGTTTTTTTAAAATAAATTTTATCAACGGCCGGTGCGCGAAAATATTTAAATTAAAGAAAATATTTAAATAAAAGAAAATAATATTTTTCTTTATATACATATAACAAAATCCCAGAAAATGTGCAAAATGAATTAATTATGGAATTCAAAAAGTTGTTGAGGGAATTTTTTTTTTGTGATAAAGGCTGTTATAAAGTTAATGATTACTTCAATGATAACACACCCTGGAAATTAATTGATCGCACCAGGCTCTTTAAAGTGCATTTTAATTGTTTGTTTCTTCATCATAAAAATATACATTATGGTAAAAAAAAAGTCCCGCTGAGTTTCTTTCTCTGGTCCTTCTCAGGTCAGTGGTTTTCTTTTTTGAACCGGTCATAGTGTTTTAGTAATCAATAATTGAGTGTAATGCTTCTATATTCAATAAAGATATTTGAATTTGAAACATTATACAATAGAACATTCTGAGCAATATGTAAGATTTGACAAATTAATAAACCTCGCAAATATAACACCCACTATTCTGTAAGCTCGTTGTAGATCGGATAGAATAAGTTAGATATTAAGAAAATTAACATTAGCTCTGATTTACTGTGACATTAGGACGTAAAATACCTCAGTGTGGTCTACAACTATGGACTCTATATAATAATACTAAAGTAATAATTTGTTTCATTACAGACGTGCTCGGCAACTTAACTTCCCTGGAAGAAATAGATCTCTCCAATAACCAGCTGAAGGATTTGATCTCGCGCACATGTGAGATAATCAATTTAAGATTGAAACAACTTTTTGTCCGATTAGCTATTAATAGGAGGAATGTCGACAGCCGACACGAAGTTCAATCTGCCGGAGAACATGAGGCGCATGTTCCTGCAGAACAACTCCCTGGAGGCGCTGCCCGTCGAGAGCCTGGAGAAGGCGGAGCGGCTGCGGCTGCTGGACCTGAGGGGCAACCGGCTCTCCGGCTTCGCGCCGCGGCTGGTGCGGAAGCTCAGGGAGCGGGGCCTGCGCGTCCGCTTCGACGGTATTCGCTTTGTTTGTTCGGTTCATGCGTGCCTGCGTGTTTGTTGTTTACACTAGCTGTGGGTGTAGTGTTATCCGGCGTTATACCCCGAAGGTGCGACGCTTGTTGACGTTCGCGTTTGTGTCGGGTTGGTAATTTGCTGCGCTTACGAACGGCTCTATCGAAGAACCGTTTAGTCAGGTCTTTAAAATATTCGCGAATCGTCGGGAGTCTTCAATCGTTGTGCAGGTCGACGTTGCGTTGATACCACTGCGCACCGGTTGTGCGGCGGACGAACTTATTTTGTACTATTTGCAACTTGTACAAACGAGTAGGGTGCGTGTGGTGCGCAGGTCTTATACAATAATAATTTGTACCTTAAGGGCACGGTGCATTATTACGCAACTATGATAAACACCGTTTGTATGAATAACGGGATCATGGTTCACTTCATTTCCTTCATTGCGCCATCTAGTGGTTGATTGGCGGAGGCGCGTTAATTCTATCATCACATAGACAATAATCAAAAGGTAAAAATAAACATATTGGAGGTTTCTTATTATGTACATGTTTTTTCTTTAATTTTATTGTTTAAAATAAGTGTTGTGCACGTCGGTATGTTTTGTGTGAAATATATCTCCGTCTTTCTTTCGTAATTAATTGTGGGCAGAAGAAATGTTCTGTGCGTAAACGTGTCGAGTTTTGGGTGGCGGCAGACAACGAACTGCAGTGCGACTGCCTGGCGAGGCCGCTGAAGCACCACCTCGAGCGGCTGCGCCGGTCGGAGGCCCAGCAGTGGGCGGGGCTGCGCTGCGCCGCGCCGCCGCCGCTCAGTGGGCAGGCGCTGCTGCAGCTGGACGAGGAGCGGCTGCAGTGCGTGGGCGTGGGCGTGGGCGCAGACAGGGACCTCAGCACGGAAGGGGGGGACGCCGTGTACAGCCTGGCTGCACAGCCGGATCTCGTCTTCAGGGACGTGCAGTAGTAAGTGGACACATGAGTCAATTAATGCACACTTTATTGCACGAATTCTTTGTTATTGTTTTTTTCAGAAATGTTAACTAATGAAACTGGTAATACTAATAAGGACTACTAATAAGGAAAATAAAAATTTTAATCGCGTCACTTATGCATATGTTCATCCAGGAGAACCCTGTTCTGCACTACCACTGCATACTTCTTTACTTTGCTTATTATGCTTTTATTGCCTACAATTGCCCTGAAAAAGCCGTACGCTATCTATTGAATACATTGGTTGTCAGAATTCTATTGTCAAACTTAGATCTGTATTACCTACTATTATCCGCAGGTGACCCTTCAACTTAGTAATCCTGGAAGAAATTAAAGTCGTTCTGCTCATATCATAATCGGACCATAAATAATTCTTAAAACAATCCCAGACCTACTCCTTTCATTACTGGCTAATATGTTCTTAGAGTACTTCTCTTTACTTTTCAGCATTTGAAAGCCAAATAACCCACTAAGTTATTATTATATTAAATAATAAGTTATTGTCAAATTAATCTTGCACGGGGAAACCAAACAACAATAAATGCTTTTCAACAAGTTGAAAATGTTTTTACCTACAACCGTATTAACCACGAAAGATTGCGATTTTGTTTAAAATATTATTGTCCAGAATAAGTATGCTCAATTCAGCATAGGGTATCCTAAAAGGCCAAAAGGCTAAGACCAATCTAGGTTTATAAGTACGTATGTTGTTTTCTTCGGTCTCTCAAATGTGTTCGATTTTTTCGCGTCATTATAATTTTGTCGAATCGCATAGAGGGCGACTTCTCCATTAATTGCTGGCTCAAATAGGTATTCCTCAAGGTTCATGTTTCTCGCTCGTGCTTTTTTCGCTTTTTTACGAACGACATCTCGAAAGACTCGTGCAATCTCTGGACTCGCTGTCATGTTTATGAGTTAGACAGAACGAGTTGGGTTAATAATCTCGTCTGACATATGTCACGGTTCGCTCGTAGGACCTCAAAGGTCTGCATCCGATAATGCCCCGTTAATGTTACTTACATATGAGCGTGTGTGCGTTCGGTCGTATGGAGGCGGTATTCGATCTTGAACAAACGCCTCGGCAGCACGCAGGCGTCGATCGAGGCGCACTGGCTGGTGGCGAGCGGCGAGGACGTGGCCGACACGCTGGTGGTGGTGCGCGACCGCGACAACTCGGTGCTGTTCAGCGCCGAGCTGGCCTACCAGCTGCGCTCGGCCAGCGTGCCGGTGGAGGGCGCGCTGCTGGCCCGGCTGCGGGCGGGCGCGCGGCCCGAGCTGTGCCTGCAGCCGCGCAGCTCGGGCGGGGCGGCGCGCCGCTGGCACCCGGCCCAGTGCCGGCCCGCCCCGGCCGACTTCGGCGCCTGGCCGCGGCGGCCCTCGGCCGACAAGAGGCGCCTCCGCTCCGGCAGCGCCCTGGGCCTCGTCGGCGACTCCATCCTCATCACGCTCTGCATCTTCCTCGGCGTCTGCTTCCGCCGGCTGGCCGACCTCGACGTCTGACCTCAGCGCCCCACCGGGACGCGATTTGGCCACCGATATTCACGGACCTTGACCATGTCACAAACTAGTCCTTAATACACACTTTGAAACCTTAAGATGACAAAATGGCACATCACAATTGTTATTGGCTTTAGACTTCAAACTCTCTTTTGAATCTCTTATTGTGATAATGCTAGTATTTTTTTACATTCCATTTTTATACATTTTGTATTTTGAATGTACCAGAAAAATGTATACATTTATTGTTTGATTATTATATTAATATTTTATTTATAAATGTTATAAAACGTTTTTATATTTTTTTACAAACTATATAAGTATTATAAAAACTTTTTACTGGATATATAATATAGGAGAAAATGAAATCCGTCCAAATTTATATACACGTTTATTGCAATAAATAAAGTTACCTGTATTTGACTTATAAAAAAAGCATTTTTATTTATTTCTAAATCAATCTATTAAAAACTTATTGGATAATGCAGAACAGTTCAGTAGAAGCACATAATATTACATCCAATGTGCAACAGTTACCATATAATATTGTAAAAACCCGTTGAACATCAAAAACTCGCAATACAATGGTGTATCACTGGATGCAGTTTAAATAAATTATTAGCTCTAAATAAATAATAAATAAGATTACGGGGCATTCCACAACAGGTAAAAAAGCTGACGTTTCCGATTTTAGTAAATTTCAATCAAGATACAAAATATTCTTACACTATAAAATGTAATTTACGATTTAGATAATCTTAAGAATGACTTACTGGTAAATTCCATTACGCAAGTATTAAAAAGATAAATGAAAATTAATAAAGCAGTCAAATTCATAACTATTATTAAATAAGTTTTCTAAGCATTTTTGGATATTAAAAAAATTTTTTTTGGGAAAATGTCATATTTGACCTTTTGACATTTGAATTCCACAAAGTTGGACTGTTTTAATTTTTAGTTTTTTTTTCAACAGTTACAACAATATTGTAATATTGCCCCTTATGTCAAACGATGAATGTATGTAAGGTTTCGGAGCGTTCCGTGGACTAGGCGGGCGGCTCCTCCGAGTGCCGAATGCCCTCCTCGCCCTCCCACTCGGCGCGGGGCAGCCACGGCTCGGGGCCCGCCGGAGCGCCTGGAACAATACACGATTTCTTTTAATGTCGTGGTTCACCTCATATTAAGTGATAGCCGCCGCCCATTGACATAAATTTAATATTAGTATAATGTTTCGTCATACTCTTTATTGAACATTATTTTACAATAATGTTAGATAAATAATTAAACATTATTTATTTTCAGGTCATTTCCTTAAGCTGAAAACTCGGAGTTTGAGTCTGAAAATATCGCAACGTACTGTGTTGATATATGATTTAAACATTTAAACGGAATCGAACCCACGTCCTCCGGATTCGCGCCCTGAGTAAGATATACTTCCCGGACGGACCTCTCCATTCATGCAACAACGACGACTGTTGCGTGGCCATACCACAGCTAAAATAGAATTTGCATCTTTAGTCATTGGAGAATCGCTACAAGACGTCTCGAGGTCAAGATTGTTATTAAAACGGTAACAAAACCGACTTCTGATATCTCACACGCTATAAACTTTCTATTTAATTTTGACGAGTTCCCTGATTTATCATTGCTGCATTATCTATGAATTGATATGGAACCGCATGACCTAAACAGAAATCAATGCAAATATAATTTTTAAAATCGGTTCCTATATGACAGAGTTCTAAGGGAAAAAAAAAACTGAATTGAGAACCTCTCCTTTTTGAAATCGCTTGAAAAGTACGCAAAAGGTGGTGTTCTGTGTTTTTCAGCTGAACTATTTTTAAATCAGCTAGCTTAAATCATTATGTAATATGTTAATTATTTTATCTATTTAAAGAAGAATCTGTGCAAAGCTAATTATTAAAGATGTAATTATCTAATGTTATATTTCTGCGCTGAAGGTAGAAGTTTCGATTTGCGACTAATTATTTGGTATATACTGACAAAAACAAAAGTTGTCGGAGAAAAGATAAATTGTAGCTATCTTCTAAAATTCTCGACCTGTTGACACCTCCAAATTGTTTTCTAACATGTTGTAACCTTATAGCACAGGTTTTGTTAAATAAATGAATAAATGTTAAATTAATCTTAGTCTCATCTCATATATGCACTTTCGTTCTAAATTATTATCAAGTTCTAAGTTAAAATGTAATAATCTTCTTCTTATCCACTTATGTTTAATAATATCTCTTACTATCTAAAGTATCGGTATCTATATTTTCTCTAATTATGACTTGTTCCGAAATGGCAAGGTTTTGTTTAAATTTTCAGTCGTCTTACCTATTGCGGCCAGACTTCTTTCGTATCCTGAAACGAGAAAATAGACCGGTGACAGATTTTTTGACAAGATTATTAATTTTTTTACACCACCAAAAAAAAAAAAGGAAAACATCAATCGAAATACCGACCGAATGAATTCTAATGTCTAGTAATTCTAGTTCCATTCCATGTATTTGCAAATCACAATGTATAAACGTAACATCTGTTGTTTCCTCACTAGGCAAGCCTGTATCGAGGAAGGACATATTGCATATCCGAGATTTTATTAACATATACATTTTTCATCAAGCAGACATTGAGTTTTACGACATATTACAGAAAACTTATATACATACAATACGTAGTAGGTACACACTTCTTTAAAATTAACAAGTAATCCACATATCCATCCAGGCGTGTCAAAAATCCATTCGCCTATCACGCGTGTAGAGTATACTCAAATCATTAGAATAGCTGTTGAATTCTGGCTAGTTTTTTTTTGTTGAAATCGCGACGCAAGTGTAGCGGCAAAAAGCGGCCGCGTTGAGCGGAGACTGGAGAGTTGAAAAAACCGCGAACGTACATTAGTCCGCGAAGCCAAGTGGAGCCAATTTGCGCGCTTTGGAAACAAGTGCACGCTACCTCGACGAGCCTCCGCCGAAAACCAAATCTCCTTATCGATTATTCTCTACTGGCCGCTGTTATTTTTTCGGTTTAAGGCAAATGGGGCTAGGGCAAATAGAACTAGGTCTTATTACTACCCGTTGCCATATCAATACGAATGACAGACAAATTTGAATAGGAATTGTTCATTCATGGGATGCAACGTACAGATAGATTGCAACGAATGATTATATTCTATATGAATATTATGCCTAATCATCCGTCACTATATTGAGTAAAAGTAAATTAACAGCCTATTCATGTCCCACTGCTGGGCAAAGGCTTCCTCTGAACAGAGGGTATTAGGACATACTCCACCACGCGACCTTACTGCGGCTTGGCGGACTACATATTTTCGAAGTATTTTCTTTGTTATTATTTCGAATATAATTTGTTTTTTAATTAAAATAAATGTTTGGCGTTTAAGTTATTCTGCCTTTCCAGTGACGATGCAGGTTTCCTTACCATGCAGATTTTCCTTAATCGCTGAGCACGTGATACTTCCAAACGTGCCAAAAGTATAAATTCAAAAATCTTATGAAATTACTTATACACATAGTATATTCGAACAAGTTAGACACGACTAATATTGATTTTATAGAGATCGTGATAAAAGCCCGCTCATCTTATAAAAAAGAGATTCCAGTGAGGGAAACAACAGAACAATTTTGACATTTATAACAATGCTGTTATAATGTGACAGCATTTCCTTAGCATACATATTTAAATATCATTTAGGTTGAAATTGACGTAGATATCAAAGAAATTTTCTCACGAAGAACCCACCAAATCATTAGGGCCATTACTTGCAACCTGGACGCTTTTTTGAGGCTTTATTATATTTGAAACCACTTGATCATTAGACATTCATTGTTGTATACCATAGTGCGTTTAAAAACGATTAAGGCGTGGAAAAGGAGAAAAATGCCCATGGGAAATACTAATATTATAAACGTGAAGGTTTGTATGTATGGATTGGATGTTTGTTACTCTTTGACGTAAATACTACTGAAAGGATTTTAAAGAAATTTTACAATAATATAGCTTATACATCAGATTAAAACATAGGCTATAATTTATAAACATATTTTTATGTATATCTGTCTTTCTGTCTGAATGTTACGCCTTCAGTCTATTCTACGCAGACATAATTTGCAGCTAGTAGGAAATATTCTTCGTGTTTAGAATTTATATTGCGGATTCTGTTATCTTATTCGGTGCGTTTGGGCTACAAATTATTAAAATTTAAAATTAGTAAAATTATTTTCATTTATAATGTGAGAAGGTGGCTAACTGGCAGTTCACCTGATAGTAATGCATGGCATTTGCAACACCCGTAGGGTTGCAAATGCGTTGCCACCTTTTAATACATGGCACAAACTTGCACTGTCAATTAATATTTAAACAAAAATTGTGTTTCGATATGTTGAAGAATAAATTGTTGCAAATAGTATAAAGTTTTGTATTAGACGATAAGAACATTTACGCTTTCCACATAAATTGTTCTACCCAAAGCGTAAAACAAAAGTTCGGCTGATACTTCTTTATTTTCTTTTTGCTTTATGTAGCAAGGATTTTGTCCTGTACTGTATGTATTAAGTTATTTTAATAGACATTGTATTCGGCTTTATGATTTAAAAAAGTATGTGTTTACTTATGTACGCACGTAAGAAGTTTATAGGTACCTACTCATTTAGCTTAAAAAAAAGTAGAATAACTGAAAATGTTATCCCCGGTGCCTTGGTTTTTGAAGCAGAATGTTTCTTTGAAATGACGTGAAATTATAGGTAGATGCCAGTTTGTTATTGGTTGCCATGGCAATACCGTGAAGTTTACAACCAGCTTCAAAATGTCGATTTTTGGCTGTCGCTGTGTAAAAATTTTAATCCCATAATTTTGTCACACGTGCCTAAAGAAGTATAACTTAAAAACTCTCCAATTACTTATATAAAAAAAAGTTAAGTAACAGGCAAAGGCCTACTCTGTAAAGAGGGTTTCAGGGCATAGTCCAAAACGCGACCTCACTGCGGATTGGCGGACTTTTTTGTCAATCGCATGTAGGAAACACTAATCAGTATTTGTTAAACAAAAATAATATAAGTACATCACTAACCGTGGTGCTCGTAGTGGGGAGAATAAGACCAATCATGGTGGTGGTGGCCAGTGTGCTTACTCTTCAGAGCCGTGAAGAAAGAGGCCACCTGAAATTAATTTTAAAATAAATAAACCGCCGTTGTAAAAATATTTTTATGTACATTAAGTTTAAATAAATTAATGCTAGAAGTCTCTAAAGTATGCAAGTCACGAAGCTAAATTTTTTTCCGTCCACTTTATAAAATAATTGCTGTATTTATCCGCTGTTTAGAGCTTTCATTTTAATTAACAGCTTGTAACAGCCTATACATGTCCCACTGCTGGGCAAAGGTCTTCTATACAGAGGGTATCATGGCATAGTCCACCACGCAGCCCCACTGCTTCGTCCCACTTCACATATCTTCGAAACATTATTTTTGTTTATATTTCCAAAATATGCCGGTTTCTTCACGATGTTTTCCTGCACCGTGGACGTGATAAGTCAAAACTCAGGTTCTCGAGTCGAACTCAGGCTGCTCGAGTACAGCACCCAGACACTGAGCTATCACGGCTCTTAAATAAATCATCAATTAAAGGCCCATTTACACGGTGCAAGTTTCTTGCCTGTTATATACAATTAAATTGAAGCAATAAATGAGTTGCATTGTCTAAACAGCACATAACATTCTTGACTGTTGAACAAGACTTGCTTCAAGTTTTGTTTCAAAACTTTCCTTGGTGTAAACAGCACACACAATAATTTCTTAAGCAATTCTTGTATTCAATTGCATTCTCTCTTCCTTTGCAAAAATTAGTGCAATGAGTGACGGTATTTAATCATTGCTGTTCTTTTGAGGATAGAAATATTGAGAAAAGGTCGTAAAAAAAGTTTGGATAAAAATATGAATAATAATATATGGATCATAATAAATAAATCTCAATGAAATATATTTAATCGGCATAATCTAACTTGAACACTTATTATTGAGCCATTTTTAAAAAAAACAGCCATTTGTAAAACGTTCAACACTTGCATGAAAAATTTGTCAACGCAAATACGTGCAATACTTGAAGCAACACGCCAATAAATTGTACACGCACATACAAGCATGTGTTTAGACAAGTCAAAACTTGAAAGCAATAATCGCCTAAACATAATTGCATTGGTGTAAACAAAAGACCTTTGCAATTATTTCCTGTCAAGACTTGCATTCAATAATCGCATTCAATTTTTTTTACTATATCTGCGTGTAAACTGTTGCTTACAATTCTTGATGGTCAATTATTGCGTGCAACTTATTGCATTCAATTATTGCTCTTGTATGTACAAGAAAATGGCATCGTGTAAATGGGCCTTTAATCATCTAGTCTGCATCACTACATAATATAAAACAAAGTCGTGCCGACGTCCGTCCCTATGTATGCTTAGATCTATAAAAATACGCAACGGATCTTGATGCGGTTTTCTTTACTAGATAGCGATTCAAGAGGAAGGTTTATATGTATAATACATTGCACTCGCGCGAAGCCGGGGCGGGTCGCTAGTTATATCGATATATTAAAAACGGACACCTGTTCACTGGGCCACGCCACGTACCTGGCCGAGCTGACCGCGATCTTGAAGACGAGCAAAGCTATCCCGATGGCCACCGACTTGGCTGCCATTAGGGAGGTGATCAGCATCCAGGTGGAGGTGGCGCCCACGTGGAACACCAGCGGCATCATGCCCATGGACATCTTCTTCACGCTGCGGTCTTCTGTTGGAGGTGGACGGCTGAATTTTATCTCGTGGAGCTAATATTTTTCTACATATAGGATATAGATAACGCATTCCTTAACGTTTCTTTTCACCACTTCAGTTGCAATGTTTATGAAATAGTGATATGTCGGAATCCTTCTATTTAAAAGAAATAGACCATAAGGAGTACGTTATTAAAGACAATAAAGTCATATATGTTATAGTGCAATGTTCCTATAAAAAATCTATACACAGATCAATAAAATTGGAGTGTCTGTTTGTAATATTAATATAACCGCTTCTTTATTAATGCATATGGATGTATACACGGTGCATATACCAAAATATTTTATTTACAATTTTTGTCTGTCTGTCTGTCTGTCCGTTTGTTCCGGATAATCTCTGAAAAGACTGGACCGATTTGGACGGGACTTTCACTGGCTGATGGATATAGCTGATGTAATAAGGAGTAACTCAGGCTACTTTTATTTTAGATTTTCTTTTATTTTAAATTCCACGCGGACGAAGTCGCGGGCACAGCTAGTGTTAAAATAAAAATATTTTAGCATTTCTGAATTGTATTGTAATCATTGCACTTTCTGACTTAGGAATGATAAAAATGTTTCAAGATGACTGAAAAAATGGTTTAACTTAGGGTTGGATAAAATAAATACAAAAAAAATACAGTTTTTACAATAAAAGTTTTATACCGCTATAAGAATATCTAAACTTACTTCTGCTTGTAAAGTCCAATTTTGGTTTGATTTCGTTGTAATGCATCAACCTCCCCAATTGACTTTCGCCCAAATGCCTGTCGTTGATCGCCTCCAGCCATCTAGCTGCCGACACCACGTATTCCTGCAGCTTCATCTCCAACTTCTCTTCGAGATTCGATGTGAGGCTTCGCAGCTCTTTGTTATCTGCATCTCCATTGCAATTTCCGAACGTATCGCAGCAGATTAAAAATATCAAAATGTGGATTTTGGCGCGCATCTTTTGTCACCGCCGATGCGTCCGATCCCAGTCGAAATTTGTGACTGATTACTTCCTCGCGGCCGATTGAGTTGACCACCGTTTCCGAAACGAGATGACCCACTTGGGAAGAGCTTACCGCCTATGGACCACTTCGTTGCAGTTTAAGTTAGGACTTTGTGAAAAGTCATGTTGTAGAGATTGGGAGAAACAATTTAGAGAACAAGAAAGTAATAAAGATCATTTGCGACATTTTTGCGTTTTAATTCTAGTACCCATTCGATACTTTATTGAATATTCATTCATATATAAACTTGCACAATGAAAGCGATTAATGTAGGCATTCTACATATTACTTATATGATCGAGGACGCCGACTTCGGTGGGAAGTCGGCGTCCTCGATCATGTTCTAAAGACCTTAATCAATTAGTTTTATTTTGTATTGCACATAGCGAAAACGACTGTTTCACAATTGCACTTAATGTATGGAAATACACTCACTCAGCCTCGGATGTTGCAAGAATGGGCAGGCCCGTCCGGGTAAGTACCACGAGTTCACAGAAGGAAGTATGACAAATACTTTCGCGTTTCGTCTGGTGAGTGAGGTAGCGGGAGCTCAATTTTCAAAAGGTTGTCAACGCATCTGTAACCCTCGGGTGTAGCAGATGTCCATGGGCGGTGGTATTCACGTAACATCAGGTGACCCGTCTGCTCGTTTGGCACCTTTTCGCATAAAAAAAACCACAAGAAATATATAAAGTTAGTTTTAAGCTTTCGCGTTTTGTCCATTGATTGAGGTAATCGGGGCTCAATTTTTTAGATGTTTTCAACGTATCGTTCTTTGCTTTCCTGTATTCTTGGCGGCCTTCAGAAATGTGTGTGGTTTTTTGGTTTGACTACTAGGTGGAATCTCTTTAAGACTCCAGTAAACCTTCATTGGTCATATCTTTGTCTTCAGTCATTGTCATGACAAAGTTTTAATCTGATCAAAATACTTACTTTCATTAATTTTCAGAATGATTTCTTTCAACTTCTTGCTGTGGTGATTTCGTTTTTGGTATCCCCACTTTTATTTGTTTTGGCGGAATACCGGGAAGTTCACTTTCAAGCTGCTCTCGTGGCAGTTCGACAGGAAGAGCAGTAGCAAAAATTTTTCCAACCCCCAGATCAACACAGAGGCTTTTTATGTCGTAAGTTATAGAAGAGAAGGTAATAGCGTCAACAACGGTACTCAGTAAACCTTCCGACATAGTATCGGAATGAATAAATAATAACAATATTTTACATCAGTACTTTAGTTATCTAAGATCACAGATACAGGAGAATATCTATTCCTTTAAATAAATTTATGTTCCATGACATTGATATCTTAGATGGCGTAGTAAAATAACACCTCTTCACATACAAATTATGATTGTTATTACAATCGTTAAATCGGAGTTGATAACATTAGTTTGGTTGTTTAGGTAAAAAAGTTTAGTTGTTTAGAATCAGAATTATATACCTACTAACTGCAAAAAAGTTTTTGCACTAGACATAATAGAATTTTTTTTTAAGAGATTTTATAGTTACATATGAAGAGCTAGAGCTAGGTAGTGGCAGGCTTTTCATGTGTGTTTGAAGAAATTTAAAATAATACATATCAAATATGTACTTTTTGCTAATCAGACAAACTTATAAAAAAGTAAAAAGTAACAGCCTATACATGTCCCAAGGCAAAGGCCTCCTCTATACAGAGGGTATCAGGGTAAACTTATATTTCTAGGTAAACTTATATTTCATAAATTTTTAAATACACTAGAATTTACCTACTTTAAATATTCCTCCGTTGCACGAATGGGCAGGCTCTACCGGGTGGGTACAACGGCCTCATAGAAGTAGAACCATAGAGTAAAGTAATACCACTGAGTAGAACTATTGAAAGTTATTGTTTGCTTTCGTATGAGTGAGGTAATTGGGACCCACTCTCTTAAAATTTCAGCAAAGTTACGACTGTTATAGACAACAACGGGCGGCGGTAATTCCAAAAAAACAACAGGTGAATTGACGAATTGACAGATACTGTGTCACGCTCGCACATAAAAAGAAAGTCCATCATTACTAATAAAAAACCATGATGACAAAAAAAATATTTCATATTTACGATACTTTACGGGTGTCATAAAATCTCGTTCCTTTGGTAGTAAAATAGTTTTACCTCCTGCAACATCTCTGACGCAGGTTGTGAGTGATTTCTGACACGCTCCACTTCGCTCATCGGTTTCCATCGAAAGTTAAATGAGCCAAAAATTCGTAAGCGTTTATCTTTGGCGCTGGTGGCACTTTTCTCTCTCGTAGTAAGTACACCTGTTATTACTTTAAAGCGTTTATATTTCCCACTACTGCTCAAAGACCTGTACAGAGGGTATTAAGGCACAGTCCACCACCGGTTGTCTGGGTGAATGTGATATGTCTGCCAGACTTATGTCTAGTCTGGCAGACTTCACATATCGTCGAAATATTTTTACTTAATTCTTAGATATTTCGAAAAAATGCCGGTTTCCTTATAATGTTGTTCTGCTTAGAATTCTTTTAAGAGAGGCCATTAATCAAAGAAAAAAGAAGTTGTTCTGCTTGACATTAATTATTTTTTTGGGACACATCTTTACACAACGTTTCTCTAGCCCTAAACTGAGCATCGCTGGTAGGTACTATACGTATTAGAAAACTGATAAACATACTCGTACTTAAACTACTATATGCTGTAAATTTCTAGGTTTTTCTTAAATGTCCATAATTTCCAAACTGCGTGGGATAGATTTTTTTTTCTGATTTTTCTCATGACGGTTACAATCAATCCTGTCACCCCGTTTCTGCTTGACGTTGAGTTGTGGGACACCCTGTATATAAACACCCTGACACTGGAAAAACACAAGGCTCATCGCACAATTCTTTTCCAGTAGTGGGGATCGAACCCACACCCTCTGACGCGAGAGACAAGTTCACGGCAAGTTCGCAGTGTAGTGACTCCACACCAATCGGTTCGCCAAATAATTTCTGTAGGGAGGCATGTGAAGAAAGTGTTCTCTTACATTGGCTTAAAATATCACAGTGTTGTTTACTTTTTTTATGTGACAAAGTGGCAAAGGAGCTGGCAGTTCACCTGGTGTTAAGTCATAGCCGCCGCCCATGGACATTTGCAACACCCGTGGGATTTCTATATACCACCCTGTTATAAAGTGTGACCCGGCTACCACACTGACCAGACGAAACGCAGAATTGTGATACTTCTACTTCACGCCGGTCTTCTTGAGGTCATGGTATTTACCCGGACGGACCGGCCCATTCAAGCAATAGCGAACACTGTTGCGTGGCCGGACCACAGTTTAAATTAATAGTGATAGTTTAAAGAGACCTCACATTAATTAATGCATTGCAATGAATTGACTCTCCATAGCGTTAGAGAATTTCTCTTTTTATCAGTCTATTTTTATTAACTTGTGTAGCATCAAAAAGAAAAACGTTATAAACGTCTTCCTATTAAAAGTGAGTTAAAATAGAAACCGAATCAAAGCGTTGGCCGCTAAACTGGAACACAATCCAAATATCATCTTACATAGATACATATCACTGTAATTGTGTCTTTCACCGCGATCTGCACTTAATGTTATTGTAGCTTCTGTGTCTGTTTTTGTATCATACGTGGTGTTATTTTTCATGTTAAAATTTCAAGCCACTGCATTTTTATACATATAATTTTTCTGTACGTTTTGTGTATGTCACTGAACTCCTCCTAAACGGCTGGACCGATTTTAATGAATTTTTTTGGGTGTGTTCAGGTGGATTACATGTATTTCTAGCGATGCTTGTTTCTTCTAATGCCCAAAATTTTGTTTGCAGCAAATATAAGCGATGTAACGAAGCCTTGTGTTATTTACGTGTATATGACTAAAGCAATAAATTTGATATTTCTTAACATTCCGAGAATTATCTTATGAGAGTAGGAGCCTTTGTACATACTGTATTAGAAAATTAGCTGCGCAAGTATGTAATAATATCATCGAGGGCTTCAGGTTGCGGTCGAGTATCTCGTCTCCTCAGCAGAGCTAGCTTAACGCTTTCTAATCTGATGATATTTGAGCAGGTACGTGTCGACCCAAATTTTCGTACACATTTTCGGGTTCCGCACGTTGCGTCAACGAGTGCGCGATTCACCTTCATTATTTATAATTATAACTATCAAATTTTTTTGGACCATATTTGTTTTTACACAGTTTTTATTAATTTACGGTGGTAGGGCCACGCAGCAGCCTCGGCTGTTGCACGAATGGGCAGGCTTATGCGGGGTACCACGACCTCACAGAAGACCGGCGTAAAGTGGAAGTTTAACACTTTTGCGTTTCGTCTGGTGAGTGAGGTGACCGGAGCCCAAATTTCAAAAGGTTGTCAACGCATCTGCGACCCTTGAGTGTAAAAGATGTCCAAGGACGGCGGTATTTTAATATCAGGTGAACCGTCTGCTCGCTTGGTAACTTTTAACATAAAAAAAAAATTATAATTCTTCTAATTTCGATAATTGTTTTCTCACAAAGGCGTTGCCGGCCTTTGACGGTATGGAAACAAGTTCCACAGAGTGGTTTTGCGAGGCAGATATGATATGAGGATATGATCTAAGGTTCTCCAAGATCCTCTGTTCAAACTCTGATTTCAGTAAGTCATTTATTATATGTGAAATAGAAAGAAGATTTTTCCTGGCTATAATATAACATTTAAAATATATCATTGTATGTATGTATGTATTGCTTTCACCAGCGATTTATCCGGTTATAAAAATGCCCCAATGTAGCTTTTTGTAGCGAAACAATAAAAAAATCGAGTGTCATAGAGTTGAATGTACATGCTTACACGCATGTAAGTGCCATCTTTAGGTTAAGTGGGCTCAACTTGTTTCAATATTAATCAAGGAAAGAAAAATATGGCGTGTTGCCATATTTTGGGCAATTAATATAAACTCCGGTGAAATCGAAACGATGATGGCTTTTCTGTCTTAAGAATGTCCTAAAAAAATAATATCCTTAACTATCCCTTTGTAATTATAACTTGTACTTTGGTTTTGGTTCAGAATTATTGATAGTAACTGCATGTTTATGATTGAATAAAACATATATTTTATTTGACTATATCTTTTTTTCTATATCTATATAGAATTTTTTCTATATCTATATACACTATATCTTTTTATACTATATCTATATCTTTGTATGTAACATTCTTAATCATAACTGTATATTTTAAAGATAAACTATATGAGAAGCATATTGAGATTGACATAAAAGTATAAGGTTTTAAGAAGAAAAACATTTTTTTCTTGCTTAATACACAAAAATTGGTGGCTATTAGGTCAATACTGGATCTAGATCTTAAGTTCTTAAAATGCTAAATATCTCGTTTTTGGATAAGATTAAGTCAAGCGATGTTGCCGCGCTCTCATATACTCCTATCTTGTATTAACTGATGTTTTTGCTTTCAATCCCGAGACTATTAAAGCTTCATCTGACGCAGAACCGGTGGGCTAGCCAGAACCCACGGGCTTAGGCGCTCCGCCGGGTAGGGCCACGCATGTGATCATGCGTGCGTTTAACTATGGTGTGTCATTTAAGGGCCATCGAGGTCGTGGTTCGGACCGAAACCCTGATGGCCGTCGACTGTGTTTTTAGCTAATCGGTGGCTGGGGGCGGTGAGAACCGCCCCGGAACGCGGGTGTACGTTGTGTACGCGTTGTGTTGGTCTCGCCGTGCTCGGAGGCGAGGGCGAACTAGTGTGTTTGTTGTTGCACTAACTGTGGGTGTAGTGTTGTCCGGCGGGACCTCCGGCGGTGGGTCCGGCGTGTCTAAGTCCCCTTCCTCGACCGGGTCGATGAGGACGTTTCGCGGGCGACGCTTGTTGACGTTCGCGTTTGTGTCGGGTTGGTAATTTGCTGCGCTTACCACCTGAGGGTTGGGATGATGTTCGGCTCTATCGAAGAACCGTTTGGTCAAGTCTTTAAAATATTCGCGAATCGTCGGAAGTCTGCAATCGCTGTGCAGGTCGACGTTGCGTTGATACCACTGCGCACCGGTTGCGCGGCGGGTGAACTTGTTTTGTACTATTTGCAACTTGTACAAACGAGTAGGGTGTGTGTGGGCGAAGGTCATGCATGCGTAAGACATAATAGGTCGTACGCAGGTCTTATATAATAATAATTTGTGCCTTAAGGGCATTTTACTTTTAGCGTTAGTTAAATTGTGTAGCCGGGCGGAGACGAACGCGGCTCTATTGCGAACATTATTAATGTGCGTAGTAAATGACATACGCGAGTCGAAAGTGACTCCTAAGTATTTGACCTTTTTCTCCCAGGGGAGCGGTTGGCCATAAAGGGATATTTGCCCCAACTTTCTGCATTGACGAGGGCCATTATAAAGATGTGACGGGTAAGTACTTCGTGTGAAGTGAATCGCCACACTCTTTTGGGGATTTATTTCTATTCTCCATTTGCGGAACCAATCGCCGAGGCGGTCGGCAGCGCTTTGGAGTCGAGTGATTACTTGTCTAAGGTTGCGGTCTGAATAAAAGCGCGCCGTGTCATCCGCGAAAAGCGCGAGATTGACGTGGGGGTCTTTAGGTATATCGCTCGTGTAGAGCGTAAAGAGCAAAGGTGAGAGGCAGGAGCCTTGTGGTACGCCGGCCGTGAGGCGGCGGCTTGTGGAGAGGGTGCTTTCAACTCGATATCGAAAAGAGCGGTTCGACAGGAAGGCCCGGATGGTGTGTACTAGCCTATCTGGCACTTTGAGTGTGTACAGCTTGTAAAGCAAGCGGTTGTGCCAGACCTTGTTGAATGTTGTCGAATGCTCACTCCTATCTGCTAGGGTGGGCGTTTTTTTCTTTTTATTTTATCAACAGACGTTATACGGAACACAGCTTTAATGTCTGAAAAGCTAAGCTAAAACTAATCTCCCTCGATGGTGACTACAAACAAATTATACAAATTAGGTTTTGCACATTAAAAATCTAAGAACACAAACTAATTATAGCACAGCTCTGGTATTTTAATACCCCATCAGAGCGCGAGGCAGTTTTGTAGTCGCTAGTTATTGGGCATCAGCCGTTTTGGCAAATACTATTGAAGCAGTAGGGACTTGTGAGGACAATTTATAAGTGTTAACTTAAAACTAGGTCAGTGGTGAAGGAGTATCTTGTCTGCAGTACAATAAACTGATTATACAATTATTTATTCGTTTATTTAAACTCTCACAAACATAAAAAGGCACATTTGACGAAGCAGTATTACTTAGATGAAATGGTGAAGAACAATTTTATTTCTTAATTTTATATTAAAGACATTAAATTCTATTTCAATGGAGGTTTGAATGAGTTACAAAATATTCTGACTAAGTAGAGAGATTGATATTTTTCCAGTGTTAAGGAGCGTCACAACAAAGAAACATCGAGCGGGTATGCCAATTCTTAAACTCTAAAACTAAAAAGAATAACGCATGTCTAATAGTAAAACTAATTGTATAGGTTCGTACAGAGGTACTTGTGGTACTTATGTAATATATATTTCGAAGTGAGAAATCACGATGATATTGCTACGTCCTGCGTAGAGAGGTTTCCAATACTGCGCAGATAACAGATCACTCTGATCTCAGGAGGAGGCGGAGGGTGAGGGGTGCGGTGAGGAGTAGGAGAAGGGGGGCGGAGGGGGGTGAGGTGGAGGGGGCTTTTGCGGTGAGGGGCGAGAAGAGGCGCACGTCGCTCTCGTCAGCGCTCCAGCCGATGAGCTGCTCCTCACGGTTCTGAGCGCGCAGCCACAGCTCCAGCGGACGGAAGTACCTGGAGCGCGGGACACGGGTCACGCGTGACCATATAGGGGACGAGCGTGATACCAATTAGCCAAGAGAAGCGTGCTACTCAAAGAGCGTGAAAAGAGTTCGCCAAGAGAAGCGTGCTACTTAAACGACGCGCTTAAGCGACAAGCGTGAATAAGGGAGCACGCGCACGACACCTGTGTCAAGCGAATGTGTAATAATACCAAATTCTGCAATGCTTTTAATATGGATGCATGTAACTGATAAACATACTTAAACATAGTTTCCTTTGGACAATAAATGAATATTATAGATATATAAACACCTAGACACTAGAAAAACACTATTATTTTTATTTTTATTTATTTATTTACTTCACCAACAAGATACACATCAAAACAAGCTTAAAACATAAATAAGTACCTACATAGTATCTTCAACTAAATGGTATCTCAATTACAGGTGAAACGACATTCAAAAGTTATTATAATGACAACTGCTAAAAAAAGAATAATAAAAAAATAATAATTGAAGTATGCTAAATGCTAACAAAGAATTAATACAGTAGTTGACTGACTATGTTCATCACACAGTAGGTTTTTTTAGTAGTAGTACTCTTCGCAATCATTTCAAGTGCTTGAAGAATTATTAAAATTATATTAAAAACAGTTTTAATATATAAACTAAGCCAAAATGATTTTGGGTTTGTCCCAACGATAAATACTTTTGTGTTAATCTAGATCAGTGATTCTCAACCACTGTGCCGCGGCACTTTTGTGTGCCGCCAATTTTCAAAAGTGTGCCGCCAAACTTTGCAAATATATAATAATTAATATTAAATTATATCATTTAAAAAGAAAAATATTTTTTGGCACTAGCCAACATTAAAACTAAAAAAAGATCAAGATTGTTAAATGTAGAAGACGATATGAGAGTAGCATTGTCATTTTTACGACCAAATATAAATGAAATTATCAAAAAACATCAAGTTAAAATTTCGCATTAAAAATATTTTTATTATTAACTTGTAATTAATCCCTTAATAAACGTTTAGTTATTATTGTAGTATATATTAGTTTATTTCGTATATTTAAATATAAATAAAATATTGTCATAAACTATTTATGCAGTGTGTTGTAGTAAGTAAATAATTTTTATCTTTTTTTTTATGTGCCGGCAAATTTTGAAATCGTTAAATATGTGCCGCAACAAAAAAAAGGTTGAGAATCACTGATCTAGATAGTGAGAATTTAAAAATCTCTTGTACATAATGTTTTAACTCCTATTATTAAATTTAAGATTATTTGTCTCGCATATCTTAACTAATAACTAAGTAAGGTTAATTTTACAGTAAGGTTATATTATTTCAATAGAAAAAATATATTGAAGATAATAAAGAAATTAGCGAAACTAAGCCGTAACGTAGAACGAGATTTTCATTCTGAGAGTTAGTCGTAGTAGTGCAAAGGAGAGAGCGGCATATGCATATGGAGCATGTAGAGCATATAGAATATGTAGAGTATATAGAGTATGTGGAGCATGAGGAGCATATGGGGAAAGTGCACCTGACGAGGGCGTCCGGCGAGATTCTGGTGGAGGCGCCCCTCGTGAGGGTGCGGATCACCTCCGCGGCGGGCTTCGACGCGCCCGCCTGCATCACCTCGCTGCCACGCCACACCATTCATCACTCTTTCAACCCTTATATCACCCTAAACTTAACTTATGCTTGACCTATCTTAAAAGGGTTGTAGCTAAGTCAGTCGTAGGACTAGGAGAGATCTCTTTCGTAGAACGTAGGGGTACCGGGTATTCTGTAAAAGATTCCCGACGCTTTTCCAACATGATAAATGTAGCCACTGAGGGTCTCGGTTATTTAGTAAGCATTGGTAGATAAACACCCCACGTAATCCTGACTTTACCCCAAGGAATGCTTATATTCTTCAGATCTCTGTTTAGTTCCCCCTCGATACGAAAAAAAAATACTGCTCCACTCGAGCCGGTCTATGAATAATTAAAATTGAGAAGCATACTGGAGTTGCCCAGACAAGCTTTTATAGATAAGATAATAGTCTAAAGATATTATATATTATTTATTCCTGAGGTATTATGTTCCTAAGAGCCGTAATAGCTCAGTGTCCGGGCGTTCGTCTTTAATTCAATATACTCGAGCAACCTGAGTTCGATCCCCGGTGCCAGCACCAATGAAGTTTTTAACTTTAAGTGAAGGAAAACATCGTGAGGAAACGAAATAATAACAAAAAAAAATATTTCGAATATAGGTGAAGTCCGCCAATCCGCAGTGGGGCCGCGTATAGAGGAGGCCTTTGCCCAGCAGTGGGACAAGTATAGGCTGTTACTTTACTTTACTTTACTTTAAGGTATGGAATCCGAGCAAGTGCTTACCTGATGGTAAGACGTTGCAAGCATTTTAATAACGGCCTCCGGTTAGCTAACTTACGGGATGAAACGGATAAAGGTAATATTTAATGTTGCTTCAAGTCGATTTTTTTTTGAGAGCATGGTGATTCCCCGACTGATCTGGCCCATTCGTGCAACAGGAACTGTCGTGGTGCCGCTGTACTGTATACCATTAAAGCTTACGGAAATAAGGGATAAAAAGACACAGCTCAAAGCGTTCTGAAACACTTACGCCCGGTTTCTGAAAGACTGATCGATCTAGAAATTAACTAATCAGTTGTAAAATGGCTTGTCAATGGCAAAATTGATTTTATTTCTCCAAATTGACTCAAAATCCAAGGTATATCCACCCTTTCGGCAACTAGAGTGACATTTAACAGCTGATTAGTTAACTTCTACGTTGATGAGTGTTTCGAAAAGCGGTCGTCAGAGCGCTGACTGCCCTCGACCGTGGGCAACATCGGCGGAGTCGCAATAGACCGGCGCTAAAAGGACCTGAGCAGCCGGCCGGCCTCCCTGCTGCGGTGCAGCAGGCAGTGGTGCAGGTGGCCCTGGTGGGCGGCCGCGGCGCAAAGCCGCTCGAACACCTGGAACTCCAGCACCGTGCTCAGGAGGTACTTGGCGTACTCCTGGACACGCGCCACCTCTCAATGCCTCGGATAGACCGATTGAGATCTAGATCGGATTCTAGTCATATGGATATCTAGTTAAATGAGACATGAAGATAAGGGTTAAAGGCTTTAAACGCTCTAGACGTGAGCAAAGGACCTGGACCAGACCTTTTACCTCCCATTATCCTTAAAAACTGCTCACGTAATCTTGTAAGACCTCTTACTCAAATTTTTAACACGTCATTAACTTCTGGTAAGTTCCCTTCAAAGTGGAAATTAGCGCATGTAACACCTGTTTACAAAGCCGGTGCCATACACAATAGCTGTTTGAAAATCCAAATGATCTTTCTAATTCGATGAGTAGTAATGTCTATATGATCTCGCCAATCAAGTTGACTGTCCAATATGGCACCTAAATATTTAATGTTTGTGGAAAGTTTAAGCAAATTACATGAACATTGTTGACCTGATAAAAGATTAAAAGAATGTGCTCTAAGTGATACGTCTTGATGTTGACTTTTGTTAATAGAAAATTGAATGTAGGTTGTTTTTGATATATTCAGAGTAAGGAGATTAGATTTTAGCCAACAAATGACTTGCTGGAGTCCCATTTCAGCCATTTTACATACGTTGTCCCAAGTCTCCCCGTGAAACACTAGAGCTGTATCATCTGCATATGCAAATATTTCGCTATTTTGTAGGTGCAGTTGACACAGATCATTTATGTATATCAGGAAAAGACTTGGACCAAGTATGCTACCCTGAGGAACACCACACTTGACTACAGCATCTGAACTTATTAACTTTCCGATTTTTACACGCTGAACCCGGTCATAAAGGAAATCAATAAGACGTTAATAAGACTAAAAGACGAAAGAAATTAATAAGATGTGTGTTTAGCACCTTTTCCAGAATTTTTGACAGTGCGGGTAGGACTGAAATAGGTCGGTAATTGTTGACATTATTTCGGTCTCCACTCTTATAGATTGGCGTATAAGCGATTTTTTAAAACAATTTGGGAATATTCCCTGCTCAAGACACAATCCAAAAAGCCTTGTTAATGGTGGTACCATTATATGTTTAGCTAACTTCAAAAAATCACCAGAAATACCATCCCAATCAACTGCTGAAGTATTTTTAAGGTTCAAAATAATGGATTCGATTTCATTTTCATCAGGTGGAATAAGCACGGAGTTGACAACACAGGGTATCTTAAAATTATGGTTATTAACTTGTTTATTATCAGTTCAAATTTCTTAGCTAAATTTATTCCTACACTAGAGGAAGTTTTTACTGACACTGATCGTTTGTCACATTTTGGACTTCTACCCCTTTCTTCACGCAGGAAAGCTGCTGACATAATGTTTGTCTATAAATTAATACATGGCATTATATTATAGAATCCCCAAAGTTATTAGAACGTTTATATTTTTCGGTCCCACGTGCAGGTTTTCGTATTCATAATAGGAAAACGTTTATTTTGCCTTATATTAAAACGAAACTCGGCCAGAACTCTCCTATGTATCGCATGCCTTCACTATGTAATACCATTAGATTTGCTATTGACATATTCGCTGGTTCTTTGGCCTCTACAAAAAAGAAAGTGTCCAGGTTTTTTTCGGTCCTATAATATCATTAAAGTATTAAATAGTTTATTCATTAATTTAATTATTTAAGTAGAATGTCTTATTTGATTTTATATACAAAAAAAATAATAGTATTACTTATGTAATAGTGGTCAGTAGATAAACCTTTGTACCTAATGTTATATTGAGTCTCATTGTGTATGCTGTGTTTGCTATGTATAGAATTCAATCATTTTTTTTTCTGTGTATATTTCTTTTGTTATCATGCTAGATTGTATTCGGTTAAGCAGACCTAATAAACTAAAAAAAAAAGTGCATATTAATCCAAATCTATGGAAACATTAATTTGTAGGCCCAAAGTAGAGAAAAATCAAACAATCAGAAAATTTGACAAACTTGTATATGAAGCCCAACACTTGATGGCGCCGCGATCTCTATAGAGCAAGCTATCGTTTGTCACTTGGGAGGAAAAAAGATCACCAAAAATTTTAGATCAATATAACCTCAAATCAATATGAGATCAGTACACAGTGTAGTTTTATTTATATACTTCCTAGTGTGCACAATCATTGTTTGAAAGTCTACTTCGGTCTTTAACAAAACTACTTTTAAATCTAGAAATGACTCGGCGGCGTAGTTGCCAAGTACGAAGTTCGTTCCCAGGCGAGAAAAATATTTGAGTGGCTCACAGATAAATAACTATTCCGGATCTGGATGTTTGGTTCCAATTAGGCTTGACGTCAGACGGCCAATCGTAAAATAAGTGATAGCCAATACTCTGCCACAATTCGCGTTGAGCCTACACTACATAAGTGGGATAATAATAGGAGGAAAGAAAATAAAGTGTGTACAAACCTGGTCAGCAATGACGTGGTACTTGGAGCCAGGGTCGAAGTCGGCTTCTGTTCGCGGCAGAGGCGGAATCACGCCCTGAAATAAAGAATGCAAACCATAGCTATAATCGTTCCTACTTGTACAAACAGTTATTATTATATTTTTTGTATTTATTATATCGAATATATAACTAATAAAAATTAATTAGTCATTATTATATCGAAATTGTACTATTTTGCGAACTTTAACAATTACAGCGTTACAATAATCAGCACATTAAAATTTGTAAAAAAAAACATGAAATGTTTTTCGCGACTGCGGGAATCCTGTCTTTCGGATTCGTAACGTTTTAACCACTAAAGCCCGGTTCCTATATTCAACGAACGGCCGTTTGTTACATTGGCATTATGAAGGCGTTACAACGAATCGTTATGAGAGTTACGAAGTTATGTAACTAACGGCCGTTCGTTGAATATAGGAACCGGGCGTAAACTTAGTGCCATACCGGTGAAAATATCAACGTATTTAATCTACGTTGTTTTTTTCTCGCCTTGTAAAGAATATTTAGCGCATTAGCGCTATTGATATTTTTTATCGGCTTCAACTGTCACAATTGGGACCTATATTATCCAACAAACCCCACTTTGTTAATTGGTAAGAGCTTTTTTTAAGATAATTTTTTTTATTTTAGAGCTAGACTCTGCGCACAAGACAAAACTTTAAATTGTAAATTTTTTCAGATAAATGAACTAAAATTTTTCGACATTCTTAAAAATTTTAAGAGAAACGGCGACATCTCTCGTTACAAATGTTCAACGATGTTTGAATGTTATTTGTTGTATGTTGTAAAAGATGGACACTAGATGGCGCCAAGCATTGCTAAAATGCAACAGAAAAAACGTAGGCGTAGAGATTTTCGCGCCGTGACGTCATCGGCCGCTTGGCGCCTGGGCGCGATACCAGAAGGCTCAAGTTCGAAACTCGCAGTGCCGAAAGTATTCGTTTATTTCTCTACAAAAGTTTACTATTATATTTAAAATGGTAAGACGTCAAAAAACTTGCTATAGTACCGGTGTTTCATTATTATTTATTTATTTGTTTTCTCGTCTGGTTGGGTTTAGAAATAAAAATAAATTTTTATAAATATATTGTATATATAAAATAAATATTGTAAATAAATACCGGTATTTTGAACGGTGACGTGTGCATTTTAAGGTCAGAAACGTCTGAAACTGACCTGGTAGCGTAGCTTCATCTGCCACCACCTTGCGTTCATGTTCTCCACTCCGTCCTCGAACACAGACCAGCGCCACTGGCCAACACGGCGCCGTCAGAAGCGTAGTAAGACAACATTTATACGAAACAAACGCTGATAAAAGCGCAAATATTGTAGGTATATAAACGCATCATCAAGAGAAGACCTTAGACTTACAAGGGGCCGGAGTGAATTAAAAATGTTTCTAAGTATTTCTGCAGCGTTTTGATTACTAAGTGAAATAACGATTTCGGCAGCTGGTAATACGCCTGCAATGTATCTGGTATTAGAAGTCCTCGAAAATAAAAATATTTTTCAAACAAACTAATTAAGTAAAAAAGAAACAAAATTTGTAACCTCCTCAAATTATTGAAAATTTGTAGCCTCTCCTTCTAATGTATGTTTTGTCTCTTTTAAATTCATTCAATCGATTCATATGCTTTGTGACCTTTACAAATGAACTTTACGTTACAGTTTTATACGTAAGGGTGTTCTAAAATTGTTTGTTTTGGAAAATTTAATAACTCTGTAAATATTGATGTTTAAAGAATGTAAATGTTTAATACAATTTAAAAAAGTTATCCTCTATATGTGTGTTCATTTATTATCTCGGTGGTAACGACACGCTGTATACTTATGGTTACATATACGAGGGAGTCTTAAGCGGTGGCGTGGAGGGGGCACATGCCGTTTGCCGTGACGGCAAGGCAGCCGATTTTATTGCCATGTGCCAATAGATGTATCACATTAAGAAACAAAGAGCAGCATAGACAACTATGTTCTATGAATTACGGCCTGATTTTCATAAACCTTGTCCCACTGACCTGGTCGACCATGAAGGCGAAGGGCAGATAGGCGACCTTCTCCAGCGCCATCGACATGAGGAAGTTCATGCTCACCTCGTAGGGGTCGTGGGACCTGCCGGCCGATCGGACTCCTCAAAGAACGGGTAACGATAGGGCTTAGGGCCATTTCATTTGTTATTGACATCAAATATAAATTTATTTTCATTTTTAGAGCTTTTTTAAAACGGGACTGTCCGTATTTTTTTTATTTTAATTTTTATTTCCGGCTGTATTTTTTTTTATGTGAAAAGTTGCCAAGCGAACAGACGGTTCCAGACACCTGCTACACCCGAGGGTTGCAGATGTGTTGACAACCTTTTGAAAATTGAGCTCCTGCCACCTCACTCACCAGACGAATTGCGAAAGTATTTGTTATACTTCCACTTTACGCCGGTCTTCTGTGAGGTCGAACTGTGATAGTTAGACAGTTGAAATTTTAACAGATGATGTTTTTTAGATTTCTTTTGCCACTAAACATTAAATAAAAAAAATTAAGTGGGGCTCCCATCCAAAAGATATAATTTTTTTTGTCGTTTTTATAAGCAATGGTACGGAACCCTTCGTGCGTGAATCCGACTCGCACTTGGTCGGTTTTTTACTGTACTGTGTTATTGTACATCGACTCGATTTCTGTTATTGCATGAATTAACACGATCCCCAGGAACGTGGACTTAAAAATAAGTAGATAGACTATCTGCTCGTATCGTATTTTTCTCATAATAATATTAAAGAATATTAAAATGAAAATGTTTTCATTTGAAATATTCCATATTTACTTATTTATTTATTTATTCATAGCATCACAAATCAGAATGACAACGTATTTAAGTATTAATACACACAAAAATTATCATAACAGTCAGTTGGCATTCCCAATATGCGACGATATATATTTCTTAAATATATATGTATATGACGAGCAAGTCATCCATATGTATATATATTTAAGAAAAACAAGAAAATTGATGTCATATAGAAAAAAGACAGAAATGTGTTAAAAATAAGTATTTATGATAAAGGACGGTAAAAACTAATTATTTTAGTAATTGAGTTACAAGAAGCGTTTAAGGCTGTTTTCAATCTCCGTTCGAAGTAGTATGAAGAGATCGTCATCCAAAATATACAGTTCGGCTGTAATAGATCTAAGAATTTCAAGTTTTTAATGTACTTTTGGTCATGCGTAGAGAGTTTTTTCAAGTTTTAAATGTATTTTTGGTCATGCGTAGAGAGTTCTTTCAAGTTTTAATGTACTTTTGGTCATGCGTAGAGAGTTCTTTCAAGTTTTTAATGTACTTTTGGTCATGCGTAGAGAGTTCTTTCAAGTTTTTAATGTACTTTTGGTCATGCGTAGAGAGTTCGATGACTCACTTGTTGTTGTAGAGCCCGAGCCGTTGCAGGTGTTGCATGTTGTAGACGGCCAGCGTGGCAGCGTTGGCCAGCGCCTCGTGGAACGCTGTGGGCGGGGTAAGCGAGGGTGGATTCAGTTCCGTATGTGCACAGTGGCAGGGCCACGCAATAGCTTCGCCCGTTGCACGAATGGGCAAGTGCCACGACCTCACAGAAGACCGGCGCCAAGTGGAAGTGTTACACTACTGCGTTTTGTCTGGTTTCATATCTGATTCTTTTTTTTAGGTATGAATATTATGTAATATGAATCACGTTGAAAGCAAAGCTTGTACTATCGGTACTAAGTAACTGATAAATAAATTTAAACGTACTTTTATTCTACATCATTACTATACAATTTCTTATATATATATTTTCTAACTGATTACGTGATGTTAAGCCATAACCGTCGCCCATGAACAGTTGCAACTCTCGTAAGGTTGCAAATACGTGGCCACCTTTAAATAAAATGGGCCCCAGCTACCTTACTCACCAGATGAAACGCAGAAGTGTAACACTTCAACTTTATGCTAATATATTAATAAAATATAAACAACCAGACAATAAAAAAATGTTATGTTCACACAATATTTTTATGTAGAGTAGTGGGGATCGAACCCACACCTCTGGCGCCAAAAACAAATCCACTATTGACTACGCTAGACGGGTCGCTAGTTTTAACGGATAGCTGTTTGTTAATTATTACTATGAGTAATTGTAGAATATTATATTTTTAATTATCATTGCAAAAAAATGTGTTACTAAAGTTTTTAATAGAATTTGTGAATTATTCATAAAAAAATCGGGTGCCGCCCCCGGGTGGGCTCGAACCACCAACCTTTCGGTTAACAGCCGAACGCGCTAGCCGATTGCGCCACGGAGGCTATGAGTCGACACCTAGATATGTGGACGTGTTTCATCTCAGTTAGATCAAATATCCTCTTCTCTTCTTTATCAAGAATGTCAAATACTCTCGGTAGAAAGTAGTTTGAGATTGCAACACACAATTTAATAAATAAGTCAAAGATGTGATACAAAAATATGCACCATTTGTACGGATAGCGCTTCGTAATAAAAACAATATGGCGGCGATAATTCTTGTGTGTACATAATTTGTGCACGCATCTGAGTAAATAGATTTTTACCGTACTTACTGATATAGACAAGATAATTTTAGTATTAATAGTAAATTTGTATTCATTAACATCTGTACCAACACAATATAATGAAGTTTTAACCAATAACAAGACAATAATAAAACAAGGAAATTCAACTGCGGTACGAGAAAATGTTCTTGATAAAATACATTTCGACGCTAAAATGTATTTTATGACTGCAGTTGCTGGTGCTGTTGCCAAGGTGTTGCCTTTGGTGCTGGGCGTCGTGGATTCGATTCCTACTCGAGACAACTATTTGTGTGACCCATAGATAATTGTTTCGATTCTGGGTGTTTGTCCACGTGAAATTTATGTATGTAAAACGTCCTTACAATACAGGATAGTGTTATAATGCAAGGGCAATGTAAAGAAGATTAAAAAGGCATATTATGAAAATAGTCAGAAAGTGTATCAAACATTGTATAACTTGAACCAAACTATTAGTGTATGTAGGTGTAGTTACATAGCTTTTGTCTGTTTTGTTTTGTTTTGGAGTCGAGAGTTCAATTCTTACACGGGTCAAGTATTATGACCCACAAATGACATGAACACATGTAGAGAGAAAGTTATGGGTGGTGTTCATCAAAGAAAGTGAGTGATGGAGGTGACCGAGAGAGAACGAGAGTAGGAATACTGACCAGGATTAGCGCCATCCCTGAAGAGCTGCGGCTGCTCCGCGTACTGAAGGTAGTACTGGATGTGGGCCATCTCGTGGTGCGTCGAGATCAGGTCCTGAGTGGTCACCTCCGTGCACTGCTTTATCCTGCAAGCGTACGGAGGCGCATACTGAAGCTTCATGTGAAAAGCTGCCAAGCTACAGACGGTTCACCCGATGTTAGGTGAATATCGCTGCCCATGACGTCTACAGCACCTGAGGGTTGGTAGCGTTAATAACCTTTAAATTCCCGGCTACCTCACTCATCAGACGAAACGCGAAAGGATAATACTTGCGCTGCACGCCGGTCTTCTGTGAGGCCGTCGTATTTACCTGGTCGAACTTGCCTATTCGTGCAACACCAGAATCTGTTCTGCGGCCCTACCACATTTGAAAGTAATAAATTTAACATGGTTTGGATTTGAAAACCATTTCTCTCTTGTTGTTCAGTTCAGGTGTTGGACACGGATAATGGTAAAAGTCAAAGCAAAAGCGAGGCAACGACAGACAAGACATATTGATACGACAGAGGAGAGCATTGGTTGGTTGGGAATTATAATGAGTCAAGAGTCCCGATGAGGCAGGAGCTACGGTGAGGCCTTTCAACATTCATAAATTAAGGTGAGATAAAAGATAGATCGAGGATCCGATAGATGTAATGGATAGCGGACCTATCTCTTGCGGTAGAGGGTGTGTTTGATGCCCACTGAAAAATATTGTTCAATGAACATAGTGTTTTCAAAAAAAAAAAAGGATGTTTGTCAGTATAAGCTATGCTTACGCCCGGTTTCTGAAACACCGATCATCGTAGACGTTTTTCTGATCAGTTCGGAGAGTTTAACCATCCTTTGGCAGCTGAAACGGAATGTGAAAAGCCGTTGGACAGGTGATTAGTGAGCATCTGATGGGCGGCACCTGTAGTCGATGCGGTTGCAGAAGTCCCAGGCGCTGGCGGTGCACTGCAGCGCTGGGGAGGGGCGCGGCCTCGCCAGCAGCGAGCCGCGCCAGAACTCGGGCGGCGCCGGCTTCAGCCCCAGCGACGTGTAGAACTCCTCCGCCATTTGGAACATCCTGCACCGCAACGGTCACACTGCTATGACGCGCTTCACGTGATACGTTGCGAACCGACGCGTCGGCTACGTAGTACTTTTAAGTCATAGTATACATTGACAATGATATATTATCGTTATTGTATTAAAGCGATCTCTTACGATTTCAAATATAAAAAAACATGTACAACAATGATGATTGTATTATCGCGAACACCATAAGGACACGAAAACTTCGTCTGCGTTCACAATTGAGTTTAACGCTGCTGGTAAAACTGTGACACACTGTCATGGGGCCGACCTGAGCGGCGTGAAGCCCTGGCGCAGCATCTCCGGGGTGACGTCGAGGGTCGGCGCCGTGGGGAAGGGCATCACCAGGTCCATGATCGACTTCCAGTTCTGCGCCCACATGTTGCCTTCGCACACCAAATGGGAAATTTATGCCATTTCTATTTTTTGTACTATGGTGATGACAAACGTTTATTTACAATAATCATAATATAAAGTGTCAGTTTTTTTTTTTGTGAGACAGTGGCTAACGTGCTGGCAGTTCACCAGATGTTAAGTGATAACCGCCGCTTACGGACATTTGCAACACCCGAAGAGTTGCAGATGCGTTGCCACCTTTTAATAATGTGGACCCCGGCTACCTCACTCATCAGATGAAACCCAGGAGTATAACATTTACACTTCACGCTGGTCTACTGTGACGTTGTGGTACTTCCCCGGACTGACCTGTCCATTCGTGAAACAGCGAAGACTCTTGCGTAGTCCTCCAGTTAAAATTTATTATCGTGGTCTTTAAAATTAAAGGGTTCTAAAATTTTATGGTAATTAATAAATTATTTGTTTGCCACCTTCTCTACTAAAAACACAAAAATCAGCATTTGATATCCGCAGACTTTGGCTCAAGTATATATATAATGTGGATAGCACTTCTATTGTTTCTTATCAGTTATCACACCGTCGTTACTAACGAAAATGACGTTAATAGTAGTAGTAATACATGTGGTCTTATACTTTGATCAGACGACCCACGTATAACATATCAAATGAGGCCAAATCATGTTAAAATAACCCAATTCTTCGACCCTAAATCCGGAAGGCCAGACGATGGTAGCTCCAGGAGCCATTACGGATGAAGATGCTGTTAACATTACGGGTAACAAATGTGGTCTTGTATTTTGTTTAGACGACCAATGCATACAAATGAGAGCAAGGTGCAGGTACCCAAGAGGTGTGCGGGGATGGGCCCGTCGGGGCGCAGGGCGGGCGCGCCGTAGCGCTGCAGCAGCCGGCGGCGCACGTACGTGAACAGCTGCCGGTACAGCGGCGCCACCTGGTTGTACACCTCCTCGACGCTGCTCCGCAACGAGGGGTCCTCGTACGCCGAGCGCATCTGGTCGCCCGCGTCCCTGAAGCCTGCTCCAGTACGAGTTAGCTCGTTTCACTCAATGACTATTCCATTTTAGCACTTAACGCTAATAGGTGCTAAGTAAATAGCAAAGCGAAAGAAGTGAGAATCGGACTCGCGCACGAAGGGCTGAAACCTTACCATTATCTAGAAAAACGGCAAAGAAATCATGTGTTCTATGGGAGTCACACTTAAATATTTTTTTATTCTATTTTTTTAATATTTGTTGTTATAGCGGCAACAGAAATACATCGTCTTTGAAAATTCCACCTGCCTATCTATCGCGGTTCATGAGATACAACCTGGTGACAGACGGAGAGACAGATATACACACAGACAAACAGCGGAGTCTTAGTAATAAAATAACTTGACTTTTTACATGTTAACCAATAGGTATCCAATCCAAAACATTAATAAGATCTTTTTATCTTATATTGTGTAAATACAACTGCTGCACAACTTTTTCGTGGCTACAAGGATTCGAACCTACGCCTTCTGGATTAGGCTTTCAGTCGCTCTAACCACTAGCGATCGATCTACTTTTTTTTCTATTTTTAGCAATTACATTTCATTAAATTACAATTATACAACGAATATTAGAAAACTAGAGTTGTTGCCTTTGCTATTAAAATTATGAAGGCGACAATTAAGTTTCATCTCAAGAGCAGAGACACATGGAAATGAGAGAATAAACCGATGAATGTCTATGTATATCTCTAAATGCGCTGTTTGGACTGGTGTTAGAGTTATGAAAGTCCAACAACAGCTATTCATGCTGAAGGTATGAGAAATTACTAAAAAAATTGCATTAAAGTAAGCCTAGTACATCTGTATCAAAAATTTTCATCTTTAATAGCTTTAATTCTTCGAAATGAAAGAAAGAAAGAAAGAAAACATTTATTGCTCAAATACGCCACATGTACATTTAAACCATAAACAAAAAATACATAATAAAAAGAAAAAAAAAGAAGAATGCAAAAATATTAAATACATTACACATTTTACGCACACAATTGTGTGTGGCGTATACGGCAAACAGACCACACTCAGCTTAATGCCGCAGTCGATACGAGACTACAGCGCTGGTTTTCAGTGGGCCTGTGAATTAAGTGACGTACGGACGTTCACACCGTCATTCAAGCACTAATAATAATTAACATAAATTACACGAATGAACTAACTGGATCTAATGAAAAAAAGAAAGGAAAAGAATGTCCGAAACATTTTAAAAAGTATTGTCATCACCATAAGAGTCATGTATATTATGAGGAGTTGGAGTTGGAAATAATATAAAAGATATATTAAATGATGGTACCCTACAAAAATATATTCTCACAGGTATGTAATCATAATCATAATCTTAAGCAACAATTTTATCATTAGAAGCAATATTTTAATAAAGTCAATAATTAATAGCATGAAAAAAAATTTTTTTCAGCATTTACGTATCAAAAAAAAAAAGTTCTATGCACTCTCATGTGCTTTTCGTATGAACCCGCCGGACAGCGCAAGTGTCTGTAACTTTTTAGGTAGGTAAATATCACGCCATAGCTTTTTGAACATTAATTAGGTGAGCTTTATATTTTATTTTAAATGTATTTAATGTTTTCAGACTACGAAGCGGTGGCGGCAGGTTATTCCAGCATTTAGAGGCAGAATATTTGAAACTTCCACGAAAGCCGATGGTACGATGGTAGGGAACAATCAAAGAGTAATATGACGAGCGAGTGATCTTTGATTGTACGTCGCGTGACCACACTAATTTGTGATATAGATAAGGTGGTATATTATATTTAATTAATCCAAATAGAAATGTGGCTAGGTGGGGTTCTCGACGATACTGCATTTTTAAAATACTGTGCTCGTTTATGTACGGCGTGACGTGAGCGCGTGGAGGTATTTTAAAGCAAAATCTCGCACAGGCATTCTGCACCCTCTGCACAAGTTTCTTGGTATTTCGCTTTGCAGTAATAGTAAGAAATTCCGTAACTTTTCGCAGATATTCCAAAAATCGGTTCACCTGCAAATTGTGTTCTTAGATATAATCGTTAAAAGCTAGTGAACTACTCGCAGTTCAAATGTATTAACCTGTTTTCACGGCCGCCTCGTTGGCCAGTTGCACGTATCTTATGAACTTGTTCTTCAGCTTGGGGCCCGTCTTCTCCCTGAAGCTCTTCCACACGTACAGCAGCTCGCTCTCTATCCTGGAGTGCGCCAGGATCCTGGATATCTCCGGGTCCAGCTGCATGTCGCAATAATTGGGGTACTCCGGATTGTCCTGGTACGGCTGGTAGTGTTGGAACGGCTGGTTGGTTAGTTGGTATTGCTGGTGTGCCGCGTTCTCCCCCTCAGACTGACCGACCTTCGGTACGTGAGGGTCGTAGGGCTTCTGTCCGAATGGACAGATTTTCGCGGAGTTGTAGATCTCTTTCATTTCCGATATTAGTTGCTGGAGCTGTTAGATGTTTAGAAATAAAAATGTTAAATATAATGTATAGTAATATCAAATATTTGTCTAATTAGCTTTAAGAGATAAAAGAGTATATTGTCATTGTATAACAATGATTTCTTATGAATACTTATAACGAATATAACTCTTTTGAAATTTAAAGCTTTCTGTTGAACTGTAAAGATATTTAAAAGCCCTTTTTATAGATAGATTAAAAACAGAGGAACGAATAAGCAACCTTGGGGTACGCTTTACTTTGTATAGCAATCTGCTTGTTATTAAGGCGATTCGATTGGTATATTAGATACTGAACCTGTCTCTTGGACCAGAGGGCGTAGATTCGATCCCCAAGTCCCATTGGAGAAATATTGTACAATGAACGTAGTGTTTGTCTAGTGCATAGTTATTGCGTATCTATTACATGGATTTATTTACAACAGAAGATGTCGCTCGAATGTCTATCACTAACTTAGAGCCCATTGCGTAAGCTTTGTTTTTATTTAGTTGTGAAAATATATCCCGAAACATGTATCAAGGCAACGGGACCTCCGTAAACTTGTCCCCCGAGAGGGCGGCTCGGCTGGAGCGCAGGATCTTGGCGAGCTGGCGACGCGCGGCGGCGTCCGGCAGCCTTGCGCCGTCGAAGGAGGCCGCGCGCCGCCACGAGAGCCTCTCGAACTTGGCCCCGAGGGCCAGCTCCTCGGCCATCCGGCGCCGGTTGTGCTCCGTTATGTTGGTCACGAACTTCCACTGGGACATCGTCACCCTGTGGTCGGTGCGGGTTTGCTTGTAAGGATCACCAGCAAATGTTACGTTGTACAATGATATTACGATTCAATCTTAAAACAAATATTTGTAGAAAAAGTACGAAAAGATTTTCGCCGCTGTGGGAATCGAACCCTCGGCTTCGGCATCTTTTCGCACTTTTTCTACAAATTTTTATTTCATAACCTTGTTGAGACACCTTAAAAAGTTCCAACGATATTTTTTAATCTTAAGTGCAGTGAGTGTGCAATATGTTTTTGAAATTATCAAATATCTCGATACTGCGGTTATTGTGTTCTTTTCTGCACGATATTATTATCGTGCTTATTTGCTTGTAAAATTAATAAATAAAAATAAAGACGAAAGACGAAGTAAATAAAACTTTAACCAGCTTAGTAATTTTAAGAAAACCAGCAAATTGTTGCAAACCAGCAGAAAACCATCAGCAAAACCAAGTCAAACGACTTTTTTGCCTCTGAGTTCGTAAACGTAATAATAAAAATATTCTTCGATTCTGATGTTCTTTTCGGAAAATATGTAAAACGTGTCCATACAAAAGCGTTGTGTAAAAATCGGAGAGGCCCACCTGTAGCACATGCTGGCCGCCTCTCTGTCGTACTCCCGCAGGAACTGCATCGCCTCCGCCACGTTGGTGTTCGTGCCCTGAAGTAATAATAAACGTAACTGATTTGTCCATTTCAATGCTTCAATTTTGTTAGTCATTATCTATATATTAATACGTGATACTTCGTATCCCTTTTAACGAAAATTGCGCGGAAGGAGAAGTATGAAATTTCCCACACTTACGCCCCGTTTCTGAAACACTGATCAAAAAGCAGCTGTCAAATGGATTTTCAAATGTTATTTGAGTTGCCACAAGGATTGTTAAACTCTCTGAATTGATCAGACTGAGGCGTCATAGTTTATATAGAGAAGGAGTGCAGAATGCTAATATATTTTTTTTTCAAATTATGCATAAAAAAATCATTAAATCAATATAGAAAACATAACACACTACCACGTATTTGACACACACACGCATATATACTCTTTTGTTTATTGTGTATTGTATTTGAGAATAGATTAATATTGTGTAACTAGGGTCGAATTTCGATCACTCGGCGTCAACTAATATAAATGATAACACACCCAGAAAATGAATTGATCGCTCCACACGATCAATTTATTTCTATGCAATAAAAATAGATAATGTTAAAAAAATGTCCCGCTGAGTTTCTTTCGCCGGTTCTTCTCAAGTCAATGGTTTTCTTTACCGGACCGGTGGTAGTGTTTTGACAATCGATAACTTAGTATAATGCTTCTATATTGAATAAAGTAATTTGAATGTGAATTTCACTTAAAAATAAAAAACATGATAGAAACTAATACATTTTTGAAAAGCAACCTCATTCCTCTAAGGCGAAGAAGTCGTAGACGTTGTTGCTACATAATACCATTTACATCTATTTACATCTCTGTACACTATTTGTAGACTATAGGAGCTTTGTCTGTAGATTTCAAATTGGTACGCGAAAAGAAATCTCATTTATGTTTATATAAAGATTGTGTAAAGAGTAGAGCAAATATCAGCTTACATATTTTGTACTATTTTCTCGCCAGGGGAAGTAGTACGGCCTAAGATCTGCGTAAAATAAGTGTTTACATTTTTACGTTTCGTCCGGTGAGTGATTTCTCTGGCCACCGGACCTTCACTGGCCGGCAACATTCCTTCAACACCTAATTGGCTTCATCTAATTTATTGTTATATTCTATCTGTTTCAATAAGATAGGCGGTAAGATGGTTTTCCTTATTATTATAAATAAATAAATAAGGCACAACGCGCTGAGGCTTTAGATATTGCCTTGACTGTAAATTTATGTTGAAAGCACCTGCTACGTTTGTAAGAACTGGAAAGTTAAATCAATTAAAGTCTTCTCTTCCCCGGTGAGTATCAAAAATGTTCTCGTGTGCATGTAGGAACACGGTAAATTGTAAGGCGAAAATATCCGCTAAGTTTAACCTAAATAAACAATGTAATGACGTGGTGAGGCCGGATTTCAGTGTCTCACAATCGTGACTAAGCCCAAGAGAGCGTGTCGCCGAGGCCCCGCAGCTCCCTGCGAAAATGTACCCACCCAAAGCAACTTGTTACGTGATCGCTTTACTCTTTAAAAATACTATTGTTAATGATCAGAAACAGGTAGCGAATAGTATGAGCAAAATAAAAGGTTTAGGGAGATGCGATTTTTAGTACTTATAATCGATATTTTTAACGAAGAATGCTCTACGAATGACGCCCAGAAAAGAAGTTGAAAGTTGAAAAGGAATCTTTTTTTTTAATGTCTATTATTAATTAACTTTAACGTAGACTATGTTCATTTCAAGTCTCGAGAGGAAGAGAAAATAGTTTGTGATGTATACATCCATCTAATCTTACCAGTATTGCAATATACGACTATAGTAAATGAAAAGAATCTATTATCTCTAAATCTATTATCTTCTTTGTAGCTCTCCCATTTAGTATTATAGCCATATAAATATACATTATACAAATATATATTATTCCACAAGTAAGTGATTAATAAAAGTGTTTATAATTATAAATATTCACTATCCATTTAGATACATTTTTCTGTTTCTATTTCTGATTGAATTATACTCTACATTTTCCATTTTTAAAACATAGCGATCACAAAGCATGCGCTTTAGGTTAATTCTTGTTTAGTTGCCACGGTTGAAATTTTAACAAGACCGGCGACGTTTTTGCTTCTCGAGGTCGAACCAACAATGCCTTCATTATGGAAAATTGCTTGTAGCCCACTTAATTTTGTGGAAATCCTGTGACTTATGTGTTTAATCTTTGATTTACGTTGTCTCGACAATGTACCACGTAAAAAAAACATTTTTTTTAATGTTTTGGGACGAAAACGAATATAATAATACATAATGGTGTAGGCTAATTTTGATTTAGGAAGTTTGCAGGATGTTGCAGATGCGACTCGTTCGTGGTTTACTAACAAAGTAGCAATGAATAAAGAAAAGAACAAAATTTAACGTTTAAAAATATTACTAGGGTTATTTGGTTCTTTGGTGATATATTAAAAAGTATAACTTTGTTCTTTATTTGACTCTTACATTATTTCAAAAGCTTTGTTTAAAGTTATATTTCGAAAATATTATATACTTATCGAGTTCTCGAGCATCAACGTTAGGAGTTAATTAAATCGTAACTCTGCATTCGCGGCGGTTAAGCTAGGACAATCGAAAATAAATGCCCAGGTGATTATCTGTATGGAGCAGTGCCGGATTTACATATTCTGAACTTAGAATCCGCATTCATGATCATGGCATAATATAACATACGAATATATATTACACAACTAACGCCCGGTTTCTGAAACACTGATCATTAAGAATATCATTCTGATCAATTCAGAGAGAGTTTGACCATCCTTTTGGCAACTCAAATGACATTTGAAAAACCATTTGACAGATGATTTCTTACTTCTACGATAATCAGTGTTTCAGAAACCGGGCGTAATAATATAAGATCTTATAACAGATTCGTGGCGCAGTTGTTAAGCTATTGACTTGGGCGCCGGGGGTCATGCATTCGATTGCCACATGGGACAATTATTTGAATGCAAACAGATCCCGCATTTGTTGTAGTAGTTGACGTCAGGCAGGCGGCCGGTGTATTTATAAAACATTTATAACATGTTGTACCAACCCTTATTCTGTGGAATAAGGCAAGGAGGATGATGATACCAGTGCAGATCAGAAACGCTTGAATAGTCGTTTGCTCTTGCACGCGCGGTATCTCGCACAAAAGCCAGAGTGTCACAGCAAGAGATTAAATCATTCTGTCAATTTGATCACCAAATCTGTCAAGCAAGTTGACAGAATTGGCGCGAAACCTTGTTTTCTTTGGGACCTCGTCCTTTCTGGTCTGTTCAGACGAAATTCTGTATGCCGTATTTATCGGGGGATGACTCGTTGGCCTGAGATGCAATAAAAAGCCGGCCATTCGGATCGGGTCCTCTTCTTGCGTTTATATCAACACTCGATGCCATGGGAATACGCACCGCCAACCATCCTGATGAGAACAAACCCCGAAACACGATCTCTGCAGAGTTCACTTTCATACAACTACGGTTAAATGGCCCTGACGGAATCACCTGATCACCTTAATCCCGACTATATTAAATTTGATTTGAATTTCGCAACATATCGACCGTATTGCTCACAGGGATACAGACAATTAGTCATTCATTAATGAATGACGCAGAATCCTCTAATATGAGAATATAGTGCGTGCATCGCTTTGACCTAAGTTTTAGGGTTCCGTACCCAAAGGGTAAAACGCCCATTACTAAGACTCCACTGTCCGTCTGTCACCCGATAGCATCTCATGAGCAGTGATAGTTAGGCAGTTGAAATTTTTACAGATGATGTATTTCTGTTGCCGCTATAACAAAAATACTAAAAAAACCGAATGAAAAAAATATTTAAATGGACCTCCCATACAAAAGACATGATTTAATGCCGTTTTTATCACCCATGGACACTCACGCGTTAAATCTACGACGCCACGCCTCGCTACCTTAACGGAATTCGGGCGTGCGGGTTGATTTATCGTTATTGCAATTATAAGCATTAGTTTTACTTTCGCATTTATCTGTGACTGGGTTTAACTTGTTGAAAACATTATTTATTCGATATATCATATGGTATCCTGTATCATGTTTTGTTGCTCTATTTGCGCAGATGAAAAAGGCCTTAAACCTAATTCGATGACCTAATTCATTGAGATGTTATGTTTAAAATAAACCGCGCTAAAATCCGGAAAGTAGTATTTATCATATGTCACATATTTATAAAAGTAAAAGACGAATACTGGATCAGAGCGAAATAAAATATACACTAAGAAAAGTAGACCATAGCTCTGATTAACTATAATAATGTGTCCTTACCTCCGAAAAGTCAATCAGAATTTGAAACGTTAATCGGGAATTAATAAAGTATTTATAACATGATAAAACCATAAGATACTTTAATTTAGCAAAAAATATTGTTCGGTTCAACTTCTGTCGAAACTAAAAATAGAATTGACTATAAAATTTGGGAAAAACACTACAGATGTAATTAGTAATAGCTTATTCCTTTAGCAATAAATTGCTCGTAACATTTTTCATTTTAATCACTTTTTTATTTTTTTATGTTCGAAGGTGGCAAAGGAGCTGGCGATTCACCTGATGTTAAGTGATAACCGCCGCCCATTTTTAATAATGGGGCCCACTTTTTAATAAAGTGGGCCCCGCCTACCTCACTTGCCAGACGAAACGCAGAAGTACAACAATTCCATTCCATGCCGATCTTCTGTGAGGTCATGGTACTTAACCGGACGAAGCTGCCCATTCGTGCAACAGCGAAGATTGTTGCGTGGCCCTACCACAGTTAATTCAATAATTTATCACCCGCGTTTTTTAAAAACTATCACCCACGAAGCCACGAAGTTTTAAAAAAATTTATGTAAAATATTTGTACCTAATCTTAAATGTACAGTTATTATTTTAGATAAAAACTTTCTATGGGTCATAAAGAGTTTACAGCCACATTGCGAAATTTGCCGTGTTAATTCGTACCAAGAAATTAAAACAAACTTAAGACATTTGCTATTCGAATGACCTCGAAACGAGTCAAAATTATACCATTGCTAATATCTATGATATGAGAGTTACATAACATCTAAATGGTAAGTAAGAGATATTGAGTTCATGTGTTTATAAATTGTTAAATAAAACTGTAGAAATCTCCAGAGGTAAAAATTTAAATTATTCGCCAGGTGTATTGATAACTGGATATAGTACTATATTTATTTTAAACAAATTTGAATATGTATAATATGTAATATGAGAGAACAACATGATTTTTATCAAAGTAATTGTTACACTTACCATTCTAAAGTAGTCCTCCGCGAACACATGCCTTGTGTAGAAAGCAATCAATATTAAATACAGTACTGTAGTGCTTTGACTTCCGTTCATTTTTTTAAATATCGCTTAATTTAATGTTCTATAAAAAGTACACATTAATATATATACAAATTGAATCTTCTTTCACTTAATTTACATAATATAATACTTTTCGTGTATAAAACATGTAAAAAAATGTTGGCGGCAATTTTGACAATTTTTTTTTTTAAATTACAAATATGTATCAGAAAACTGTCTCGTTGGCTTTCTTGTCGTCGACTGGAGTAATATTTCCGTTGCCTTTGTTTTCTGCATGGTTTGATGAGCACCGTCGTTCTACATAAGTATGGCACGAGCCGAGATCCTCCTCTAACAATACATGCTTTCATAGTATACCATTTATTTCGTTTATGTCATATTATTTTGAAACCATAGGCACCTATTGCGCAAAATATAAATTTAGCAAAAATTTTGATTTGATAATATCACATGATGATAATTTAATATGTGGACTAGGATTATTACATAACACGTAATTTAGTTAAATTAAATATTGTAAATATTTTTTTCAAATAAATTTTATAATAACATTTAAAAATGTACTGTTATGTATAATTTTTGAATTCACGTTGTCTTTATTATATCCGATTTATAGCAATAAGAACAAAGTAGATTAGTCGAGATTTGTTAGCATATGTGTTATCCGGAAGGTGCTGGTTCGAATCTTTGGAAAGGAGAAAAATTTTGCATCTTAAGTGCAGAGTCTAGCACTAAATATTTTTAAATAAATGACATATTGATATTTAATAAGCATTAAATTAATCGACTAACTGATCCACTCCGAGATTACAATTCGCACTTGCCTATAAGTGAATTAAGTGCAGAAAATGTCTCTTTCCTTTAAAATTTTCTACTAGTTATTAAATTGATTCCGAAATTCGTACGTATTTTGTATATTTTTTTTATATTTCGTAAAAACTATTTGGATTTGTTTTTTTATAGTCGGTCTTTTTAAAAAAAACATATATTAATAAAAATTATAAATTTTACAACTTAGAAGTCGTATAAAAATTAACTTAAAGTAACAGCCTATACGTGTCCCACGGCTGGGCAAAGGCCTCCTCTGTACAGAGGTTATTAGGGCATACATAGTCCTCCACGGATTGGCTGACGAAGTCTTATTTTATTTTTATATTGCACGATTTATCGCGATTCTGAGCATATTCCTAGTTATAAAATTTGTATGTATTAAGGCATTGATTAATTTGGTATATTTATTACAATAAGATTATATTAAAATTACCAATACCATCTTAATCAATCAATCGGATCTCGTGTCTTATATTATTGTCATCTGATGATAAAACGTAGCACAAAACAATTAGACTTGGATGAAAAGATGACGAGATACGGTATTTATTGTTTAAGCCACTGTTCGCTTATATGTATAATTTTTCTTAAGAACGGCCAGGGCAGTCCAACCAAGGCTTGTCTCAAGTGCGATGTCTTTCCGATGATAGCGACATAACACATATTAATGATTCACACGGTAGCTTGTAACCACATGGCCATGCGATCGTCCGACAGATGTGCAGAAACTGTGCCAAAGGAGAAACAGGTCGCCGCGTGGCCGGCTCTGTTAGTGATTCCCGCACAATGTGCGACCACCCGACCGTAGTGTGTCGGATTACCTTTGTCCAAGCTTTCCACTGATATAGGCAGACGTCGGGTAAGGACACAAGTGTGATACCAGGTCCATACGGATCAAAGCACGGACAGAAATCATCATGGTGCGTACTCGAAGACTAACGACCCGTTTCTGAAACACTGATCATCGTAGAAGTCAACTAATCAGCTGTCAAATGGCTTTTCAAATGTTATTTGAATTGCCAAAAGGATTGCTAATGATCGATTCAGAGAGTTTAACATGTGATCAGTTTTTCAGAAACCGGGCGTAAGGTTAGAATCAATTTGTTCGACAATACCTATGTCTGTTCAATTCACATTTGAAACTTTAATGTTAAAAGGTAAAAAGGTTGATTACATTGACGACCCGATTGGCCTTGGGCAGTGAGTCTACCTCTTGCGATCGAGGGTTCGATCCCCATTGCTGATAAAATAGTGTGTGATGAATGATCTTTGATGTTTTTTCAGTGTCTGGATGTTTATTTATTTATAATTTTGTTTATTTACAGAAGAAAAGTATGCTTATTGGGTATTTACCCATACGTATACGTATGTGCAAGCGTTGCTTACTTTGGGACGTTGTGTTATTGCCCTGGCCTGAGATTCATTCGTCCGGATAATTATCGTTTCTTAATTAGTTCTGAGACTGTTGTAGGCCTTTTGCCCGAATAGACTGGCTCGTCCCGGGAAGAACCACGGCGGCGTCACAGAAGACCAGCGTGAAATGAAAGTGTTTTACTTCTGCATTTCGTCTTGTGAGTGAGGTAGCCCGGGGCCCACTTTATTTGGAGGCAACGCATCTGCTACCGATGAAACGGACGAGTAAAATTACTAAGTCATTATTTTACTAGTCCGTGCAACTATATAAAAATCTGTGTGTATGCATGTTTGTATAATTTTGTGGAAATTTACAGGAAATTTAGCTCAGCGGCTGATCCTGTGAAGCCTATTAGCGATCGGATCAACAGATTTTTTTTGGAAAATTAGTGCTACCCGTGAAATGTCGAGGCGGGTCGCGTGTAATCTATACATAAAGACCCAAAAATTATATTTTCGCCTGTGCTTATGGTAGTTGGGACTGATTTCCGAAACAGCTAATGTGATTTTTATGGGATATTTCTTACGTATAAAGAACATTTCTGAAAATTTATTCCTCAATCAAGCTCGACCACCTATGAGTCGGGTGCCTATAAATATCAGTCATTTTATATTTGCTAATCGAATCGATCACATTCGATCACATTTAATTACATACATTTTTTTATTTCTGATAGTATTATGTTATGAGAAGTATGCAGGAAGGCACCTTAATTAGCAAAAAAAAAATCGAATAACTTTTTATATCGCATATTTATATCAAAGGGGAAAGGTAATAAATATGCCAGCCGTTATTTCGTTAAGTCGTCATCACGATCGAAGTCGAAGAATTCCCGCGGTATTTCTTTCCTAAAGGCCCATTTACACGATGCCATTTTATTTCTTTCCTAACTCTAGACCATTTGTTGTTTAGACCATGCCTCATTTATTGCTTCTTGGCGCCGTAACTTTTCTGCGCCGTAACTTTTCTGCACTTGCCTGTGTTGATATGATTAAAGCTTTTACCTAGGAATGATTAATAACTTGTACGACCCAATAGGCAGACAAACTGCATAAGATAAACTGACGGCACCGTCAGTTTATCTTATGCAAAATCCTTGCACATTTATTATTTATTTATTTGCCATTACACAAGGTATGATTTAATGGTACAATTATATATTTGTTTAGTTCCACTTTTATAGTTGAACAATTAGCATGTTAATATAAATTAAAGTAAATATTACGCAAAAACAGTCTGTATTTAAATAAAAACATGATCCAAGTTATTTGCATATAGCAATATAATATGCTTAATTTTAACGCATCTTGTATAGGCCTCCGTGGCGCAATCGGCTAGCGCGTTCGGCTGTTAACCGAAAGGTTGGTGGTTCGAGCCCACCCGGGGGCGGCATATTTTTTATTTAAGAAACAAACTTGATGCCTATTTCATTTCATCGTTATAAGACGGACAAAATGCTCAGTAGAATACTTACAAAATCTAGGCATGCCATAGAAAAAAAATAAAAGGAAAATCTAGACATTTTTATTCACATTTTTTTAAGGACAGTAAAAGTAATTGTTCAATTCTTATTAAAACATACATATTGTGATAAAATATTAGTCATCTTGTGAGAGAAAGCCCTGATTTGGAAAAGAATGCGTAGGCACTCTGAGGGCTGAAATTAAATAAATGACATAAATTTGATTCTCTTTTTATATATTAAGTATGTTTTTATATGTTAAGTATGTTTTTATTTGTTAGCTTGTTATGGCAAGCGAGCTAGCGGTTTACCTGATGTTAATTGATAACCGCCGCTCATGGACATTCGCAGCGCATTCGATGAACCGCGGAAGTATAACACGTCTACTTCACACCAGTTTTCTGAGGTCGTGGTACTTACCCGGACGGACCTGCCCATTCGTGCAACAACAACTGTTGCGTGTTGTTAGTTGCGATTACAGTTAAAGTAAGTATTTGTGCCATTTGTTGTAGAAACCTTAGGTCCGTGGGGTTAAGAGCATCATGTCCTCGAGTTATTGTTATAATGGGCTGGTTTTTTTCTCAATCAAAGGTTAAGTAGGTTAGTAGTTGCATTTTATCACGAATTAGTAGTACTAATCCGTGATAAAGTGCAGCTAGCGTTCTTGGCACCATGCTTCGAGGGCCAAGGTTGCTAGATAACATGTGATTTATTCAACATTTCTCATTATTCAAAATATTTTTGTATATTTAGATATTAACCTAACTCTTACGTTTATCTGAGAAAAGGACAATCGGAAGCAAATTATCAATTAGAAATATACTTTCAGTTTCATTTTACAACTAGCGAAATGCTTTTATTAATTTACTTTCCTAAATAGGACACGAACACTGTAGGTATAAAAAATGTAAAAATATATAAAGAGAAGCGACGTCATCATTAACTCACTCATTGGTAAGCAATGAAAAAAGCACTAAACGAAATTGATGTTTTTTCAACTTTATGAAGTTACTTCTCGTTAGGGTATCATGTATGATCCAGTGGCTGAAACCTGTACTTTACGATGTACGGTAAGAGAATCAAGTCTATATTGCTAGCGTATTTTCGGATTTCTTATCTAATCGATCACACCTTTCAGTGGTTAGGAGTTCACTGAACTATTCGGTGACAAATGAAGCACAACCCATGTCTGATTTCTTACTTGTAGGCAAAGTTACTATTCGCGCCAACAGACATCTACAACATTGCCGACCGTTACGAGAGTGGACTCTGAATACCTCACTGACCAGGCTAAAGGCAAAAGCATATCTTCAAGTTCACTTTGGT